TGGGCTGGGATAGTCAAGGATTGAGGAGACACTCAACTCACTCAACACTGCCAATAAAAAATAGGTTTTTGTTGATTGTCAGTGCTGAGGGATCTCTCAGGTTTTGGTGAACAGCAGTGAGGCCCAGCCTCAGATCGAATCACAGCAAGGTTTGCTCCATCCCTCCAGTGAGAACAAAGCTCTTCATATTTGTTTGGATCCATTTTGGGAATACAGGTTCTTTTAGCAGGGGGTTGGAGGGACAGAGCAATCCCAGTGTTTTTTTCCTCTTTTCTGGTTGATGCAGGGGGATATTTTGGTGAACAGCAGTGAGGCCCAGCCTCGGATGGAATCACAGCAAGGTTTGCTCCAACCTGCTCCATCCCTCCAGTGAGAACAAAGCTTTTCCTGCCCAGGATGTGCAGCTGAGCCTTGGGCTTGTTCAGGCAGTGTCTGTGCAGGGCTGGGCTGGGCTCTGGCTGTTGGGGTGGGGAGCAGATCAGGAGGGCTCAGCTCCAGCTCCAGCTCCTTCCACACGGCCTGAGCACGGGGGGAATGCACCAGCCCAGCTCTGGGAACTGCTCTTTGTTTCCCTTCACTATTTCCTTCAGCCCAGGCTGGTTTTTTATTAAGTAGATTATATGTTTGGCTCAATAGGAGCTTTTCTTCTCCAAGGAAAAAAGAATGCTGTTGGCATGAAAAATCCTTTTATCCACTCCTGTCTCCTGCTTTGCCCTGGCTGCTCTCAGAGCACTCAGGAGACACCAGCTCAGCTTCTTGCCCACCTTCTGTCCCCCCACCCGAGGACAAACAACAATTTGCTTTTTCCTGGTTTCTGATAAGTTTCTGATAGAAGAATTAAGCAAACTGGAGTTCCTGGACCTGCATGAGTTGCTCTGTAATTCTCCTCTCTGCCAGGAGCACACAGGCCTTTCCTCCCTGGCACACACAGAAAATTGGGGAGTTCCTGCCTGCAGCTTGAAGGTTCTGGCCAACAATACCTGGAAAGCCCCTCAAGGGTCTGTGCTGAGAGGTGGAGAGAAGGACAGCGTGTGCTGAAGGCTGCATTCTCTTTGTTCTAGCTGCTCTCTAACCATGGGGATTTTTGAGGTGCAAACATCAGAATTAAAGTTAAAACAGAGCAGAGAGGGGTGAAGTTGTCTCAGGGTGAGGTGAAGCCGTGGGGCATCCCCCTCCTTTAGCAGGAAATTTTGGCTTTCTGCACAGAACAGATAAGGATCTCCCTCTGTCTCCAAGCTGGGGCTCTGGTATCATACCTTGCAGGTAAACTGAATTTTTTTTGTTGTTGTTGTTTTTTTAATCCTACAAAATGAGACTGAGCAGACACGACCTGCTTCTCTGCTTTCCCTCTCGAAGGCATGCTCAGTTTCAGGCCAGATAATTCACTCAGAAGTTTACAAAACCAGTTTTATTAGTGCATTTTGAAGTGCTTTGTTTGCTTTGTACCTTCTGGAAGCAAAACTTGCCACAGCCTAAATCTTGGAATTGAGACCTCAAAAATGAGTCTAACAGGAACAAAGTTCAGTTTTGTTGTATCTAAATCAAACTGAAAAGAACCTACACAGTGAAATGTGTGTGGGTTAAATGTTTTTAATTTGTACCTCGAGCTTTTGATAAGTAATAAGGGAGATGCTTTAAAAGACCATTTCCTTTTAAGTAGACATGAAGGCAGGAATGTGCCCTGGGTGCTCTTTGCCATCTCAGATTTTCATAAAATCTCCTTTATCACCAACCTTTGTTCCCCCAAGTGTATGGATTTTTCAGAATTGTCTTTTCTGCACTCTGTTGACCAGGGGAAAACCCTGATCTTGGAGCTGTTTGAAGTGCATGTTAGTAGAGGGGTTTTTTTTTCCTTTCAGTACAACATTTCCTCTCAAAATCTTCAGAATCTGTGGATGTTTTCCATCCTTCTCAACACAGATCAGTCTGTCCGTGTCCCATTTCTCTGGCCTGTGCTGAGCACCTCCATTTGCTCATGATGCTTTTTAAAGGTGTCTCAGCTTTTGATCCCAGAGTTACAGAATCATGAAATAAATAGCCTGAATTGGATCCATCATGATCATCCAGTCCAACTCCTGGTCAGTTTTTCATAAAATCTCCTTTATCACCAACCTTTGTTCCCCCAAGTGAATGGATTTTTCAGAATGGTCTTTTCTGCACTCTGCTGACCAGGGGAAAACCCTGATCTTGGAGCTGTTTGAAGTGCATGTTAGTGGATGGGTTTTTTCCTTTCAGTACAACATTTCCTCTCAAAATCTTCAGAATCTGTGGATGTTCTCCGTCCTTCTCAACACAGATCAGTCTGTCCTGTCCGTTTTCTGTCCTGTGTCCCATTTCTTTGGCCTGTGCTGAGCACCTCCATTTGCTCATGATGCTTTTTAAAGGTGTCTCAGCTTTTGATCACAGAGTTACAGAATCATGAAATAGCCTGAATTGGATCCACCAGGATCATCCAGTCCAACTCCTGGTCTTGTGGAGACATCCCAAAATCCAACCTTTTGGAGAGCAGTGTCCAAACACTCCTGGCAGCTTCAGGACCCTTGGGGGAAGAGTCTTTCCCTGTGCCCATCCTGAACCTCTCCTGCCACAGCTCCAGCCCTTCCCTTGGCTCTCAGCACTGGATTTTCATTGCTGTTTTCAATCTGTTGATTCCAAACTAACCAGCACCCACATTGAGCCCGTCTGAACCAGCTCAAAACAGCAGCTGGAAAAGGAGGAGCAGAATCCAGAGAGAATTAAGTGAATAGTAATGCAATTAGCCTGATTGATTTACCCAGGTCTCTGGGATAAGGGCTAATGGGTGTCTTCCTCCTAAAGGAACCCTGAGTAAATCAGGAGCAGCTTGTTTTTCATGAAGCTTAGGGTAACATGGCCCCACACACAAATATTGAGGGTGATTTTGTGTGTGACTTTACGCTGAGAGGATTTAGATCAGCTTGGGCAGAGTTAACTGTGGCCACTTGTATCTTTTAAAACCCTTCTTCACACCCTCCCTACCTGAAAGCCCATTTCTGCAGCAGGTAAGGACATGTTTTGGATTCCCTCTGGGAAGGCTGGGAGAGCTGATGAAAGCTGCTGAAAAACCCAGCATGCTGCTAAACAAGCCCCACCCTTCTTCTTGACATTGTTGGATTCCTCTTTGTTCCCAAGGATGGCAAGGCCTGAGGATTTGCTTACAGTTTTTCAGGCAGCTTGAGAAAAGTACAATGACAGCTGGGAGGTGGAAAAAATGTGGGAATCTGCCTCAGAGTTTCTCCTTCTCTTTATCCAAATCATCTTTGTGGAGAGCAGGCAAAAAGCCAGGAATTTATTTGACCCAAGGTGGTGTCTCGGATCAGGGAAGCAGTTATTAAGTAAGTGGCTGATCTGGCCGGGTGTGCACGCTTGGCTCGTGCAGTCACTGGGGATTGGGTTGGCTTTGGCCTCTGCCAGCTGCTCCCTGTCTCCCTGAGCTGGGGTGGTCATCCCTGTCCAGCAGGGAGCCTGGACACTCAGCACAGGTGCAATCAGGTTTGAGGAACTGTTGAGTTTTGAGTCTGACCCAAGGTTGGGCTGGGAGAGGATCTCAGTCGGATCTCGCTTGGATCTCCCCCAGTTTGCAGGCATGACTTGGGTCATGGCTGGTGGTTCCTGGCCAGCCCAGATTAAGCAGCTCTAGGGAGCCTGGACACTGAGCTCAGGTGGAATCAGGTCAGTCAGTTGCAGGAATTGTTGGGTTTGGATTGAGTCAGTTGCAGGAATTGTTGATTTTTGGGTTGAGTTTGACCCAAGGTTCGGCTGGGAGAGGATCTCGGTTGAATCTCCCCCAATTTGCAGGCATGACTTGGGTCATGGCTGGTGGTCCCTTGCCTGCCCAGATTAAGTAGCTCCAAGGAGCCTGGACACTGAGCTCAGGTGGAATCAGGTTTGAGGAATTGTTGGGTTTGGGTTGAGTCTGACCCGAAGTTGGACTGGGAGAGGATCGCGCCCGGTTTGCAGGCATGACTTGGGTCATGGCTGGTAGTCCCTTGCCAGCCCAGATTGAGCAACTCCAGGGAGCCTGGACACTCAGCCCAGGTGCAGTCAGGTCAGTCAGCTTGAGGAATTGTTGGGTTTGGTTGAGTCTGACCCGAGGCTGGGCTGGGACAGGATCTCAGATCTCAGTCGGATCTCGCTTGGATCTCGCCCAGTTTGCAGGCATGACTTGGGTCATGGCTGGTGGTCCCTGGCCAGCCCAGATTAAGCAGCTCCAGGGAGCCTGGACAGTCAGCCCAGGTGGAATCAGGTCAGTCAGTTGGAGGAATTGTTGGGTTTGCTTGAGTCTGACCTGAGGTTGGGCTGGGAGAGGATCTCAGTCAGATCTCAGTTGAATTTTGCCTGGTTTGATGGCATGACTTGGGTCATAGCTGGTGGTCCCTGGCCAGCCCAGATGAGGCAGCTCCAGGGAGCTTGGACAGTCTGCCCAGGTGAATCAGGTCAGTCAGTTGGAGGAATTGTTGATTTTTGTGTTGAGTCTGACCCGAGGTTGGGCTGGGAGAGGATCTCGCCTGGTTTGCAGGCATGACTTGGGTCATGGCTGGTGGTCCCTTGCTAGCCCAGATTAAGCAGCTCCAAGGAGCCTGGACATTCAGCCCAGGTGCAGTCAGGTCAGTCTGTTGCAGGAATTGTTGGGTTTGGGTTGAGTCTGACCTGAGGTTGGGCTGGGACAGGATCTCAGTCAGATCTCACCTGGTTTGCAGGCCTGACTTGGGTCATGGCTGGTGGTGATTGCAGCAGGGGCAGGCAAAGGGCTGCCTGGACAGGCACCTCCTGGAAAGGCTCCTCTGCCTCCACAGTCTGGTTCATGCTGAAATTGGATTCTTGCAGGTCTGGAATACTGAGTATGACTTGTGCTGTTTGCAGAGCCGGTTCTTCCAGAGCTTGAGAGCGGCTCTTGAAATGGAGAATTTAAAGAAGGTTTCCTCTCGTTCAAGCTTTAACTCTCTGTGGGTTTTAAGGGGTTGATCTTGTTTTGATTGCAGCTTTGACATGTCTGTGCTCTGACTGCAAACAAGCCAACTCCACGTGTGAGACGGACGGCGCCTGCATGGTCTCAGTGTTCAACCTGGACGGTGTCAAACACCACGTTCGGACCTGCATCCCTGAGGCAAAACTGATTCCTGCTGGGAAACCCTTCTACTGTCTGAGTTCAGAGGATCTGCGTAATACTCACTGCTGCTACTCTGATTTTTGTAACAAAATTGATTTAATGGTTCCCAGTGGTAAGTAGAGAGTGAGATAAACCATGTGTTTGAAGTGGGAGGAGAGGAGCTGTCTGTTTGGGATTGGGAATTTGGAGTTCTCAGCCTTGTTTTCACTTCTTCCCTTCAGTTGCTGCATGAACTTGAGCTCTGGGTTTATTTCCTTCATCTGTAAAGTGAAAATAATAAACCACTTCAAATTCAAATGGGAATGTGTGTGTTCCCTTTGTCAGTGAGCTGGCCCTGCCTTTATCAGCTGATGTTGCTTCCCTTCCAAGACTCCAAATCTTTTCAGTGCTGAGCACAAGTAGAGGAACATTGCAGCAAAGTGTGTGGGGAGGAAGGTGCCTGTGTTCAGAACCATGCAGGGGAAGCAGCCCTGCCTCTGAGTGAGGCTGCGGGAAACTTCTGCTTCTCATCCCTGGGACAGAGAGGGCATGTGGTGCTTCCTCACACCTCCTACTTTCTGTTTTGGGCTGGTTTTTAGTGGGTGCTGGGAAGACTGCAGAGTCATTTTCCTTGGGAGCAGTGGGGAGGTCTCATCTGTGCTCAAAACAACAAATTATTGTCTTCAGGTTTGCTTCTGTAGCACTTGAAAGGAATCCCCAGAATAGATGGAAAGTCACAGTTTAGTGGTGCCTTTAAACTAGGAAGGTGGTTGGGTTAAAGAGTATAAGGAATTCTACAGCAGATGGAAACTGTAGGAAAATCCACAGAGGAAGAGAATGTCACAACCTGATATTTGACCAGGTTCAGTTCACTGTTGCAGGGGAAAAAGGGAGCAGGGAGCCCTGGCCAACTGGTTGAGTTCAAATAGAAGGTGAACTGCAGAGTGTTCTGGAAAATCAGCCCAGAGCTCCTGTCTAAGAGAGTGAATGAACAGCCCACGATCCCTGATCCCACAAAACTTCTTTTTGAGGTTTCAGCTACATTTTGCCTGCTTGACGATCAGCCCCACCTTAACACTTTAATTAATATATCCTCAGGCTAAAATTGCCCAGGCTCTGAGAGAGCAGTAAAACACTCAAAAGTCCTCAAAGCAATGATAATTTCCTCAAAATCTCTGTTTGTTTTTCTCTTCCCAAGGACACCTGAAGGACAACGAGCCCCCGTCGAGCTGGGGCCCGGTGGAGCTGGTGGCGGTGATCGCCGGGCCCGTGTTCCTCGTGTTTGTCGTCATGATCATCGTGGTCTTCGTGTTCCACCACCACCAACGGGTCTATCACAACCGCCAGAGGCTGGACATGGAGGATCCTTCTTGTGAAATGTGCCTTTCCAAGGACAAGACCTTGCAAGATCTGGTCTATGATCTCTCCACCTCCGGCTCTGGCTCAGGTATTGCGAGATGATGGGACGTGACCGGTGAGAAGTTGCTGTTGTCTCTTTGGGCTGGTGGTTGCCACAGCTTTGCTGCCTCAGAGCCTGTTCAGGGGCTCTGGCATGAGGAATTGGAAGGGATGTTTAAATTCAGTCTCATGTCTGTTCAGGTAGGAGCAATAGTTAAATTCCACCTTAACTGCAAGAGCAAAGAGCTGCATCTGTTCCCAGTTTAACCTTGGAGCAGGGTTTGGCTTGGAGACAGCCATGAACTGCTAACCTGTGTGTTGTTGGATGTCACCTGCATCAAAGCTGCAGGAAATTGGGGAAGATCCCAGCAGATCAACATTTGACAGTGCAAATAGCTCATTTCATCCCAAAGAACCCTTGGGTCTTCCCAGGTGGATGATGTGCAGTGTTTGCTTCTGTAGCACTTGAAAGGAATCCCCAGAAGAGATGGAAAGTCACAGTTTAGTGGTGCCTTTGAACTAGGAAGGTGGTTGGGTTAAAGAATATAAGGAATTCTACAGCTGTAGGAAAATCCACAGAGGCAGAGAATGTCACAACTTGATATTTGACCAGGGAATAAACCTTCAGCAGCACATCTGCTGCTAGATATAAAATATTTGGGATTTTTTCTGTGTGGATGCTGTGGGCAGGTGAGCTCAATGCTTTCTGTGAGCAATGGCAGCAATGTTGGGGCTCCTTTCTTAAGATAAATTTGGGAGGGATTTCTGCTTTTTGGCAGAAAGTGACTTCAAGTTCCATTCTTTGCATATTGAGGCTGCAGTTCCTTTCATGTGTCATGGAGCAGAATTTCCCCAACTGCTCCTTGCTGGATCTCTGCTTCAAAGCAAAATTCAGATGCTGCCCAAGAACTGGCACATCCCACACAGGAGCTGCCACCATTCCCTGCTTTGGGTCTTGCTCAGGCTCCCAGTTGTTATCAAATGTAAAATCTGCTGGGTTTCAGGACATTTTTCAGCCTCTGGTGTCTCAGGAGGTTTTTTGGTACCACAGTGTAGGAATGTGCCCCCTGTTGACAGAGTGACCAAATTATCCTTTGTCTCCTTAAAAAGGAAAAAAGCCCAGAAGTTTCTCTCCTCAATGAGGTGAAAAGACACCCCATAGGACCTGAGGGGCTTCACCTCAAACTTCAGGATAGCCAATTGGACAGGAGCCAAAAATCCCACCTGAGCAATTCACTAGAAAAAGAAGAGAACAAAGGAACTGATTGCTTTTGTGGGATGTTTTACCAGGAGCAAGAACCTCGAGTTTTCTGTATAAAGACATTTATTATTTTGCCTTTTATTAAAACTTCTCTGTTTCAAACACTATCACAGAAGCCACCCAGCTGATTTTATGCCTTCTGAGGTAGCTGAGCTATCTTAAATGTGTATAAATCTCCAAGAGTTTACTAATACCTAGCTCAGCGAGACCATTCTATCAGTGGAGTTTGGTTTTTTCCCCCTCTTGCATCTAGCTCAGGTTTTCTCTATAAGGAGCTTTGTTATTTTGCCTTTTATTAAAACCTTTTTTTCCAACACTACCACAGAAGCCATCCTGCTGATTTTATGCCATCTAAGGTAGCTGAGCTATCTTGGGTGTGAAATAAATCCCCAAGAGCTCATGAGACCTAGCTCGAGGAGATCCTTGTATCAGTGGAATTTGGTTTTTTTCCCCCTCTTGAACGTGGCTCAATTTTTCTCTATAAACAGTTTTGTTATTTTGCCTTTCATTAAAACTTTTCTGTTTCCAACACCACCACAGAAGCCATCCTGCTGATTTTATGCCTTCTGAGGTAGCTGAGCTATCTTAAATGTGTATAAATCTCCAAGAGTTTACTAAGACCTAGCTCAGCGAGACCATTCTATCAGTGGAGTTTGGTTTTTTCCCCCTCTTGCATCTAGCTCAGGTTTTCTCTATAAGGAGCTTTGTTATTTTGCCTTTTATTAAAACCTTTTTTTCCAACACTACCACAACAGCCATCCTGCTGATTTTATGCCTTCTAAGGTAGCTGAGCTATCTTGGGTGTGAAATAAATCCCCAAGAGCTTGTGAGACCTGGCTCGAGGAGATCCTTGTATCAGTGGAGTTTGATTTTTTTTCCCCTCTTGCACGTGGCTTGGAGCTTTGTGATTTTGCCTTTTATTAAAACTTTTCTGTTTCCAACACCACCACAGAAGCCATCCTGCTGATTTCATGCCTTCTGAGGTAGCTGAGCTATCTTGGGTGTGAAATAATTCCCCAAGAGCTTCTGAGACCTGGCTTCTATCACCGCAGGGATTGATTCCTTCCTTTCCTTGTCCCCAGGCTTGCCTCTGTTTGTGCAGCGGACGGTGGCTCGGACCATTGTCCTTCAGGAGATCATTGGCAAAGGCCGCTTTGGGGAGGTGTGGAGGGGCAGGTGGCGTGGGGGTGACGTGGCTGTGAAGATCTTCTCATCACGTGAGGAACGTTCCTGGTTCAGGGAGGCAGAGATCTACCAAACAGTGATGCTGAGGCACGAGAACATCCTGGGATTCATTGCTGCAGATAACAAAGGTAAGAGGTGCCTCAAGCCTGGAGCAGAGGCTTCACCACACCCTTTCCAAGAAGTTTCCTCTAATTTCCAAGCTAAACCTTCCCTGGTGTGACTTTAGGCCATTTCTTCTGGTCCTGTTTCTTGTTGCCTCACCTGGCTCCATCCTTCTGTCAGAGTGAGAAGGTCACCCCTGAGCCTCCTTCAGGTGGAGCCCTCCAGCTCCCTCAGCTGCTCTTCAGAATTATCCATTCCATTCCCCAGCTTCATTGCCCATCTCTGGTCACATTTCAGTACCTCCATCCTCCTGTCAAGAACTTGATCAGAGTGAGAAGGTTCCCCCTGAGCCTCCTTTTCTTTAGGTTGAGCCCTCCAGCTCCCTCAGCTGCTCTTCACAAGTTATCCACACCCTTCCCCAGCTCCATTGTCCATCTGTGGTCACATTCCAGCACCCCCATCCTCATGTCAAGAAGTTCATCAGAGTGAGAGGGTCACCCCTGAGCCTCCATTTCTTCAGGTGGAGCCCTCCAGCCCCCCAGCTGCCCTTTAGAAGTTATCCACACCCTTCCCCAGCTCCATTGCCCATCTGTGGTCACACTCCAGCACCTCCACATCTTTCCTGTCATGGGGGATTAAAGCTGATTAATTCAGCTTCTCTGGGCCTCTACACTGCCCAAAACTCCTCCAGGATTCGAGCTGTTGCCTCACCAGTGCCTGGCACAGAAGGAAAATCACTGCTCTAGTCCTGCTGGCCACGCTATGGCTGATTTGAGCCATTTCTTAACTCACCCCTGTCAAGCTGTAACTTCACCCAGTCCCAAAAACCTGTGGAATGCTCAGTGGCCATTTCTACTCTGGATCTGCCTGAGCTCCATCTCTTTCCTGTTGCAGATAACGGGACATGGACTCAGCTGTGGCTGGTCTCTGACTACCATGAGCACGGCTCTCTCTTCGATTACCTGAACCGCTACACGGTGACCATCGAGGGCATGATCAAGCTGGCCCTGTCTGCTGCCAGCGGGCTGGCCCACCTGCACATGGAGATTGTGGGCACTCAGGGTAAAAAATGAATTGGGAATTCTTGAGGGGAGGATAAAGCAGGATTGCTGAAAGGAGCTTGTGATGGTGTTTATAGGGGTTTTGGGATGAGGGAAGAGACGAGGATCTGACTCCATGTTTCAGAAGGCTGATTTTTTATTTTATTATATATATTACATTAAAACTATGCTAAAAGAGTAGAAGAAAGGGTTTCATCAGAAGAATAGAAGAATGTGCCCAAATTGGGAAATTGGGAATTCTTGAGGGGAGGGTAAAGCAGGATTGCTGAAAGGAGCTTGTGATGTGTTCACAGGGGTTCTTGGATAAGGGAAGTGGGAAAATTTTGGGATGGGGCACTGCAGACCCTCAGCACATGCCTGTGACTGTGTTCACAGGGGTCTTAGGATGAGGGAAGAGATGAGGATCTGACTCCATGTTTCAGAAAGCTTGATTTATTATTTTATTATATATATTACATTAAAACTACACTAAAGAATAGAAGAAAGGATTTCATCAGAAGAATAGAATAGCAAAGAATGATAACAAAGGTTTGTGGCTCGGCTCTCTGAGCCAGCTGACTGTGATTGGCCATTACAATTACAAACATCCAAGATGGGCCAATCAAAGATTCACCTGTTGCATTTCACAGCAGCAGATAATCAATGTTTACATTTTGTTCCTGAGGCCTCTCAGCTTCTCAGGAGGAAAAATCCTAAAGAAAGGATTTTTCATGAAAGATGTCTGTGACAGGAGCTGATGTGCTGTGCAGCAAACCCTGCCTGAGTCAGCCCAGCTTCATCTGGTGGTTATGGAGCAGAAATAGAGCGATTGCTTTGGCTGGCTGTGAAGTGGGTTAACCCGGGAGTTATATCACCATTTCACATCCCATCCTAAAATTGGCGCTGCCTGGGTGGGATGTGAGCACAGGCAGAAGCAGAATCACAAACTTCTGACGTCTGAACCTATGCTGGGATGTGGAGTTTACATCCCTCTTGAGGCCTCTGCGTGCCACTGCATCAGTGGCGCCTCCAAAACACAGAATCACAGAATTATCACAGAATCAATCACAGAATCACAGAATCAATCACAGAATTACAGAATCAATCACAGAATTGCAGAATCAATCATAGAATCAATCACAGAATCAATCACAATCACAGAATCAATTACAGAATCAGTCACAGAATCACAGAATTATCACAGAATCAATCACAGAAGCAATCACAGAATTACAGAATCAATCACAGAATCACAGAATCAATCACAGAATCACAGAATTACAGAATCACAGAATCACAGTCACAGAATCAATCACAGAATCAATCACAGAATCAATCACAGAATCAATCACAGAATTAATCACAGAATTACAGAATCAATCCCAGAGTCACAGAATTACAGAATCACAGAATCATGAGGTTGGAAGAGATCTCTAAAATCATCAAGTCCAACCTATGCCCTAACACCTCAACCAGACCATAGCACCAAGTGCCATGTCCAGCCTTTTTTTAAACATATCCAGAGATGGTGATTCTGCCACCTCCCTGGGAAGAGCATTCCAGTACAATTTGAGCTTTTCCCTGCTCTGTTCCTTATGAATCTAAACAGGAAAAAGTGTTGCAACAGCGAGTTTAACGCCCTGAAATCCAGTTCTGCCTCTGTGCCAGTTCAACAAATGGATTTCCCCAGCTTGACGCTTGTGATGGTGTTCACAGGGGTCTGAGGATGAGGGAAGGGACAAGGATCTGACTCCATGTTTCAGAAGGCTGATTTATTATTTTCTGATATATATTGTATTAAAACTATACTAAAATAATAGAAGAAAGGATTTCATCAGAAGGTTAGCTAAGAAAAAAAAAAAAAGAATGAATAACAAGAGAGTTATTCAAGTCTGAGCCAGCTCACTGTGATTGGCCATTAATTAGAAACAACCACATGAGACCAATCACAGATGCACCTGTTGCATTGCACAGCAGCAGATAATCAATGTTTACATTTTGTTCCTGAGGCCTCTCAGCTTCTCAGGAGGAAAAATCCTAAGAAAAACATTTCTCATAAAAGATGTCTGTGACAGACCCTTGCTGCTTTTTATTTTGCTCTGCTAGGAAAACCTGGGATTGCTCACAGAGACCTGAAATCCAAGAATATTTTGGTGAAGAAGAACGGCACGTGCGCCATCGCTGACCTCGGCCTGGCCGTGCGGCACGACTCCGTCACCGACACCATCGACATCGCCCCCAACCAAAGGGTTGGAACCAAACGGTGAGAAAATGCATTTGGGTGCCTGGAAATGGTTGAGCACTGGGGGAATTCTCTGAATTTAGCATTTCCCAGTGTCTTGCAGCGTGTTTTGTGCCCAAATTGATGGCAAAGGGATGTTGCAGGTGAAGGCATTTGGGTGGCTGGAAATGCCTGAGCTGTAGGTTGAGCACTGGGGCATTTTGAATTTAGCATTTTCTGGTCCTTGCAGTGTGTTTTGTGCCCAAATTGATGCCAAAGGGATGTTGCAGGTGAGGGCATTTGGGTGGCTGGAAATGCGTGAGCTCTGGGTTGAGCACTGGGGGAATTCTGAATTTAGCATTTCCTGGTCCTTGCAGTGTGTTTTGTACCCAAATTGATGCTAAAGGGATGTTCCAGGTGAAGGCATTTGGGTGCCTGGAAATGCCTGAGCTGTAGGTTGAGCACTGGGGGAATTCTCTGAATTTAGCATTTTTCAGTGCCTTGCAGTGTCAGTTTTGTACCCAAATTGATGCCAAAGGATGGTCCAGGTGTCACCACGCTGGGAGGTGTGGGCCAGCCATGTAAACCTGGCATCAGGAGCTCATTTAATACATCACAACAAGCTTGGCCTCACTAAAGCATTTGGGACTTTCTGGTGGGAGCCTGATGTAGTTTTGGGACATTTCTACCTCTTTTCCCAGCTTGGTGTTATTCTTGAGTTATTTTTGTCACTCTGTTAGATCACAGGGCCCAGTTCTGTTCTGATGCCAGCAGAGCTTTTTCTGCTGGGAGGAGCTGTGTGGGAAAACCAATCATTTCCTGTATTCCAGAAAATTCCCTCTCAGAATGAAAATATTTTTCCTTTTTCTGTGCAGATACATGGCCCCAGAAGTCTTGGATGAAACCATCAACATGAAACATTTTGATTCATTTAAATGTGCTGATATCTACGCCTTGGGCTTGGTCTACTGGGAGATTGCCCGAAGGTGCAATGCAGGAGGTAAAAGTCCTGTCCTTTGTGTGGCTGGACCACTGGCCATGCTTGCTCCTGGGTCTCCCCCCAACCTTGGGGTTCCATTGATGAGGAGGAGGGAGGTTTGATCAGATTTGGGAGGTTTGAGGGAGAGCAGGGCTGTGGGAGGACACGTCCCTGTGTGTTGTCACCAAGAAGTGACTCATGAGTGCTGCTAAGCCCAGCCAGCGTTGGGTTAAGGCTGTTGGTGCTCCCAGTAGTGGCTGGTGTTCCTTTGGATGGATTTTGAGGAAATGCTGGTGCTGATTGCTGGGGGACTCCCCCAGATCAGTATAAATGTCTTGGCACGTGCAGCTGCAGCCTCATCCCACGTGTGACAGCCCCACAGCGACCCTGGCGCCTTGCTGGGAGGTGTTGATCCCAGCCTGCTGACTCTGTTCCAGTTTAGGCAGCTGCATTTTATTTCCCTGAATTTTTCTCGTTCACTCCAATTCCAGATTCTTCATTTCTGTTCTAAATAACTGCAAAGTGTTGACGCATCTCAGCAGTGAGTCATGGAGCCCAAACCTCCGTCTGTCTGTCTTTAGCAAGCACAGTGTCTGTGGTTCCTGTTCCCAGGAATTTCATTTTTCCCTGCTCTGCCTTTCAGGTATCCATGAGGAGTATCAGCTTCCCTACTATGACCTTGTACCCTCTGATCCTTCCATTGAGGAGATGAGGAAGGTTGTGTGTGACCAGAAATTGCGGCCAAACATCCCAAACTGGTGGCAGAGCTATGAGGTGAGGTCTGCTTTCATCTCCGTTCCTCTCCTTTGAGGAAAGGCTGAGAGAACTGAGATTGTCAGCCTGGAGAGCAGAAGCTTTGGTGTGACCTGATTGTGGCCCTGCCGTATTTGAGGAAGTCTGCAAGAAAAAGGAGGGGAGAATCTTTCCAAGGAGTTCCAGGACAAGAGGGAATGACTTCCCAGTGCCAGAGGACAGGGCTAGGTGGGATTTTGGGAAGAAATTCCTTCCTGTGAGGGTGGTGAGGGCCTGGTACAGGATGCCCAGAGAAGCTGGGGCTGCCTCTTCCCTGAAAGAGTCCAAGGTTGGATGGGGCTTGGACAACCTGGGATAGTGGAAGATGAGATGAGCTTTAGGGTCTCTTCCAACTCAAACCATCCCATGACTCCCCCAGGATAAGATAACAAATTTTGTAAGGTGTGCTCTGATTTTGGGGGATGTGTTGGCTGTGCCAGTCCCCAGGCAGAGCAGCAGCCTGGCAGACCCACGTGGGCTCAGGGGAAGAGCAGAGCTCTGACATTTGCTGTCGTTTCTTGGCCAGGCACTACGGGTGATGGGCAAGATGATGCGGGAGTGCTGGTACGCCAACGGAGCCGCTCGGCTCACTGCCCTCCGCATCAAGAAAACCCTGTCCCAGCTCAGTGTCCAGGAAGATGTGAAAATTTAGGCTCTGAGCCTCAACAGGAGGAAACTGCACAGGAGCTGCTGTGCTAGAGTAGACATGTGATGGAGGCCTACCTCGTGTTTCAGCCCAACCTACTGCTACAACCAGACAGCGGGACCTGCAGGCTGCTAGGCAGGGGGACGGAGCCTACGGAACCGCTCTCTTCCCTGCTTGGGTATGAAACAATCCAAAACCTTTTTGTGATCACCTCCTGAGAGCGTGGAGACTTGAAAGGGACTTCACCCGAGGGATCTCAGCCATGATCCTAACTCTTTGTTCCTTTAAAGGAAATCCCTGTAAAGTTGAGTGTGCGTTGAGCACCCGTTGATGTGCTCGGTGCCGGGAGCGGGAAGGGAAAGGGAAGGTTTTTCTTGCCGTACTCTCGTACTCTCGAGGATTTTTCCAGGGACTGGCACGTTGATGCAGAAAAAGCAAAACAAATGGTGCTCTCTTCCAAGAGGCTGAGCCGGAACAGTTGATCAGCTTCACAACAACCGTTCTCCCTCCTTTTCTTAAGCTTGAAAAAATCCAACTGGGCTCCGTGCCGGGGCCGCCCCGGTGTGTGCATGCGCGAGGCGCGCGTGTCCCCGTGCCTGGTCATCTCCTCCATAGCCGTGCGGTGTCTCTGCCTGTGGGTGGCTCATCTCTGTCCGTGCTTCCTGTGCATGTGCAAATCTCGAGTGTCCCGTTTGTGAGCTGTTTGCTGGTGCTCTCCGTGCTGAGTCGTGAGCCTCGTGGAGCTTGGACAGGCTGCTGCAGAGCGGATCCCCCCCGGCTCCCCGATGGGCGCCGCCACAACGTCCCATCAGGTTGCCTCACTGCCACCCTTTCCCTTTTTTTTAAGATGAAACAAATAAGGAACTGAGAATCACTCCTGGAATCCAGGTTTTTTTTGTCTTGAGCCCCTGGGGTTTGTAATTCTGGGTAGAGGGGAGTGAGTTGTGTCAGAGGTGGAGCAGGCGCTGTGGGGAGTGCAGGACTCAGTTCCCAACTCCAGCACCCAGGCAGATTTCTGGGGACTTGATGATGCAGCAGGGGACAGAGTGGCTGGACAGTGGCCTGGCTGAATATGAGCCAGCAGGTGGCCAAGAACATGCCCAGGTGGCCAAGCAGGCCAGTGGCTCCTGGCCTGGATCAGGAACGGTGTGGCCAGCAGGAGCAGGGAGATCTTCCTCTGTACTTTACATTAGTGAGGCTGCACCCTTCCCTTTTTTTAAGATGAAACAAATAAGGAACTGAGAATCACTCCTGGAATCCAGGTTTTTTTTTTGTCTTGAGCCCCTGGGGTTTGTAATTCTGGGTAGAGGGGAATGAGTTGTGTCAGAGGGGGAGCGGGTGCTGTGGGGGAATGCAGGACTCAGTTCTCCTGGGAACACAATTCCCAACACCCAGGGAGATTTCTGGGGATCTGATGATGCAGCAGGACAGAGTGGCTGGACAGTGGCCTGGCTGAACATGAGGCAGAACATGAGCCCAGGTGGCCCTGGATCAGGAATGGTGTGGCCAGCAGGACCAGGGAGACCATTCTTCTTCTTCTCTACTTGGCACTGGTGAGGCTGCACCTTTCCTTTTTTTTAAGATGAAACAAATAAGGAACTGAGAATCACTCCTGGAATCCAGGTTTTTTTTGTCTTGAGCCCCTGGGGTTTGTAATTCTGGGTAGAGGGGAGTTGAGTTGTGTCAGAGGGGGAGCAGGCGCTGTGGGGAGTGCAGGACTCAGTTCCCAACTCCAGCACCCAGGCAGATTTCTGGGGACTTGATGATGCAGCAGGGGACAGAGTGGCTGGACAGTGGCCTGGCTGAACATGAGCCAGCAGGTGGCCAAGAACATGCCCAGGTGGCCAAGCAGGCCAGTGGCTCCTGGCCTGGATCAGGAACGGTGTGGCCAGCAGGAGCAGGGAGATCTTCCTCTGTACTTTACATTAGTGAGGCTGCACCCTTCCCTTTTTTTATGATGAAACAAATAAGGAACTGAGAATCACTCCTGGAATCCAGGTTTTTTTTGTCTTGAGCCCCTGGGGTTTGTAATTCTTGATAGAGGGGAGTTGAGTTGTGTCAGAGGGGGAGCAGGCACTGTGGGGACTCAGTTCTCCTGGGAACACAATTCCCAGTTCCAGCACCCAGACAGATTTCTGGGGACCTGATAGTGCAGCAGGATGGAGTGGCTGGACAGTGGCCTGGCTGAACATGAGCCAGCTCCATGCCCAGGTGGCCAAGCAGGCCAATGCCTCCTGGCCTGGATCAGGAATGGTGTGGCCAGCAGGAGCAGGGACATCATTCTGTCCCTGTACTTGGCACTGCTGAGGTCACACCTCGAGTGCTGTGTCCAGTTCTGGCCCCTCAGTTTGGGAAGGATGCAAAGAGGAGGACAAAGAGGCTGGAGAGGGGCTGGAACAACCCCTGTGAGGAGCCCTGAGGGAGTTTGGGGTGCTCAGCCTGGAGAAAAGGAGGCTCAGGGGTGATTTTATCCCTAAAGGTGCCTGTGCTCAGGTGGGGCTGGGCTCTGCTCGCACACAGAAGAGGGCACAGCCTTAAGCTGCTCCAGGGGAAGTTTTGGTTGGACATCTGAAAAAAATCCTTCACTGAAAAAGTGATTGGGTGCTGGAATAATCTGCCCAGGGAGGTGCAGGAGTCCCTGAATGTGTTTAAAAATGGCACTCATGGTTTAGCTGATGAGGAGGTGTTAGGTTTGGGCATAGGTTGGACTTGATGATCTCAAAGGTCTTTTCCAGCCTGGCTGATTCTGTGATCTGAGTTCTGGGGGTTCCTCCCAGCAGGTGTGGGTTGGGAAATCAACATCCATCTTTTTAATCTAGGTGTATAAATATCTCCTAATGTGGAAGTGGCTGTGTCTCAGTGTGGGGTGGGGGGATCTGCATGGGTTTTCTTTTGATTCAAGGCCGAATCCAGATGGGGGAGAGGTGGGGTGACTACAGAGACTCTGGAAGTAACAATTGTGGCTGCCCTGATGATTTTGGCAGTCCAGGAAGATCTGTGGTGTGGAGGTCAGGTCTGCAGTAGAGAACTCTGAAGCCATAACTTTTAACTGGAGTGGTTTTGATTATTATTTTTTTAATTATTATTGTTATTATTATTATTATTATTGTTGTTGTTTTCTGGGAGGGTCTGGATTTTAACTTTTTTGAATCTTGTTAAATTCTTTCTAAGAGCAGAAAAACAATCTCTAATTATTACCTCTTGACCTGTTGGTTTGTAAAGAAATCACTGAAAAAAAAAAAAAAAAAAAGGAAAAAAACCAAATGCACAGCTCGATTTACACTGGAACTGTTTCTACTCTGACCTTGCTCCTGCTCTCAAAGGTGAGGTTTCATCTCTGCTCTGGCTGCCAGGGTTGTCTTTATTTCAGTCCCTGTGTTCTTGCTGTCTGTCCCTGTCCGTGTGTCCCTCTCCCCGATTCCCTGTGTGTCCATGAACCTTGTACAGAGTGAGGAGTGTGGGTTGGGTGGGTTTGGAATCATTTTAGGAGCTGGTTTGCACCCCCACAAAGGAGTTTTTGGCAGCGTGGATCTGCCCTGGGAGCAGGGCTGGGGTTCCCCTGTGTCCCCCCAGCTTGTCCTGAGTCACATCTCAGCCAGAGCTTCCCATGCACATCCCTTAAACTTAAACCTGCATTTAGGACCAAGGGGGCACTTGCAAAACCTAAATGTCAGTTTAGCCCAGTGAAACCTGGATTTAGAAGCCCAGGGGGTCACTTGCAAGCCCTCAGTGCAGGTTTAGCCCAGTTAAACCTGGACTTAGAAACCAAGGGGATCACTTGCAAGCCTCAAATGCAAGTTTAACTCATTTAAACCTGGACTTGGAAGCCCTAAATTTCAGTTTAACCCATCTAAACCTGGATTTAGAAGCCAAGGGGGTCACTTGCAAGCCCTCAATGCAGGTTTAGCCCAGTTAAACCTGCACTGGAAGCCCTAAATGTCAGTTTAACCCATCTAAACCTGGATTTAGAAGCCAAGGGGATCACTTGCAAGCCCTCAATGCAGGTTTAACTCATTTAAACCTGCACTTGGAAGTCCTAAAAGTCAGTTTAGCCCAGTTTAACATGGACTTAGAAGCCCTAAATGTCAGTTTAGCCCAGTTTAACGTGGACTTGAAGCCGAGGGGGTCACTTGTAAGCCCTAAATGTCAGTTTAACCCATCTAAACCTGGATTTAGAAGCCAAGGGGTGTGCTTGCAAGCCCTCAATGCAGGTTTAGCCCTGTTAAACCTGGACTTAAAAGCCCTAAATGTCAGTTTAGCCCAATTAAACCTGGACTTAGAAACCAAGGGGGTCACTTGCAAGCCCCAAATGCAAGTTTAACTCATTTAAACCTGCATTGGAAGCCCTAAATTTCAGTTTAACCCATCTAAAGCTGGATTTAGAAGCTGAGGGGATCACTTGCAAGCCCTCAATGCAGGTTTAGCCCAGTTAAACCAAGGGGGGCACTTGCAAACCTTAAATTGTCAGTTTGCCCCAGTTAAACCTAGACTTACAAGCTGAGAGGGGCACCTAAATGTCAGTTTACCCCTCAATGCAGGTTTAACTCATTTAAACCTGCACTGGAAGCCCTAAATGTCAGTTTAACTCATCTAAAGCTGGACTTAGAAGCCGAGGGAATCCCTTGCAAGCCCTAGATGTCAGTTTAACCCAGTTAAACCTGGATTTAAAAGCTGAGGGGGTGCTTGCAAGCCCTCAATGCAGGTTTAACTCACTTAAACCTGCATTGGAAGCCCTAAATTTCAGTTTAACCCATCTAAACCTGGATTTAGAAGCCAAGGGGGGCACTTGCAAGCCCTCAGTGCAGGTTTAGCCCAGTTAAACCTGCACTGGAAGCCCTAAATGTCAGTTTAACCCATCTAAACCTGGACTTGGAAGCCAAGGGAATCCCTTGCAAGCCCCAAATGCAGGTTTAACTCAGTTAAACCTCAGTTTAACCCATCTAAAGCTGGATTTAGAAGCCGAGGGGGCCCTGAGGACTCGCAGGCCGCTGGAACAGGCCCGGGGCTGGGAGCTGGGGCAGGCAGGAGGGGCCGGGGCACAGCTCAGGCTCCCCTTGGCTCCCCCATCCCGCTCGCACAGCTCTGAAACTCGCACTGAACTCGCCCCCTCCAACTGTAGCCACACTGCACCTGCCTCAGCTCCAAAGCAAGCAGGGAAAAGACGAGGTGAGGAGGGACACATCCCTCCCAGCAGGATTTTAGGGCTGAAATCTTCAGGAGAGAAGGGGAAAAGCCAGCGGGAAGGAGCTAACGCTGACCATGTAGCATTTACACAGCACTTTTCTCATGCAAATCGGTGCCCGGGGGCGCCAGTGCTCGCAGAGCTGTCGGGATTTGCTGCTTTGCCTCTCAAAAAGTTGCAGCAGCTCTGGGGGGGAAAAATAAAGGAGCAAAATCTGCATTTTATGTAGGATAAGGAAAAGGGGGTCCATCAGCGGTACGTGGCTGCAGGACAGAACTCTTGGTACTTCTCTGCCCCTTTTTTGATTCGTTTGGTTTTGTACATTTTTTTTTTTTCTTAGCAAAGGACTGTAAGAAAATAGCCACTTAGCCACTTTACCTCTTCAGTATGCAAAATGTACATACGGTGTAAGATAGGAAATCTTTTGTTTAATATAAAAGAAAAAAAAACAGGCTGTCGGTTTCTGCTGTACATTATTAAAAGTTTGTTTTATTCATGTGAGGTGTTGCAATCTCAGTTCACTGGGAAGGGGTGGGAGTTGCAGTCCCTCACATCATCTCTTTAGGAATCCTGGTTAAAACATTTTGATGTTGAATATTCTCATTTTTAGTGAATATGAAGCTTCCAACAGCCACCAGCACACTGGAGGTGACACAAAGAGGTGACAGGTGGGATTTTCCACCCAGCTGAACTTGGAGCTCCCACTCAGGGAAAGACAGCAGGAAGAATAAATAAATAATTTATTTATTCACAGAGAATAAATAAATTTGGAGATTTATACCTGGAGATCCCCTCAGAGCATCCCTGGGTACAGTGGGCACCTCCCTGGAGCTCCTCACAGCTCCAAGGAAAGAGAAATCCCACAGCAAACTCCAAAATCCTGTTTGCTCCCAGGGTAAACGGTGCTGCATGAACTGCAGCGTTAATTCCTTAATTAGAACCTCCTGCAAATGAGTTGTGAGCGGATCAAGGGCAAAATCTGCCGAGGCCTGGGGTCCCCCCGGGCTCAGACAAGGTGGGGAGGGGGAGGCACCATCTGGGCTTTGTCTGAAGCTCCCCAGGAAAATCCAGCCCCATCCGGCAGCACTGAGATCAGAAAATGGGGAATTTTAAAGCAAGAATCTTTAAAATTTTAAAGCAAAAATTTTGGGGAATTTTAAAGCAAAAATTTTGGGGAATTTTAAAGCAAAAATCTTTGGGGAATTTTAAAGCAAAATTTTGGGGAATTTTAAAGCAAAATCTGTCTCCTCCTCCAGGGAAAACAATCTGGGGTGGCTGCAGCCAAGGGGCCAAGCCATGACCAAATTTTGGGAACAAGATGGGATCATTCCCGGTGGTTTGGTGACTCAGGGTGGGTGATGGCCTCAATCCCGTCTTTTCCCCCGGAATTCCAGCCCAGAGCAGCTCAGCTCCTGCAGCAAATTTGTCTCCTGGTAACCCCAGGCCGGGCTGTGGGCGGGAGGTTTGGGTGGAACGCCAAGCGGGGATTGTTACGATCTTCAATTTTTTTTGGCAAATTTTAAACAAACATTTGGGCAAAGCTCTGGACTGCAGCTGGAAAATTCCCGCTGCCCGGGAGCTGCCGGAGCCTCCGGGAATTGTTCTTCCCTCTGTGTCCCAGCTCAGCTCGGATCGAGCAGGAGCAGCTCAAATCCCGGGCTTGGGGCCGCCCCTGCCCCAGTGCTGCCTCCCGTTAAATCCCAAATGCGGATTTGGGGATGTGAATGCGCTGGCAGCTGGCGGGGAGCAGCAGAGCCTGGGTTGGTTTTGCTCCGGTTTCTCCCCAAATCATCCCTGGGGTGATCCCTGGATCCCTCCTTGGTGCTTCCCGTGATATTCCCAGCAGCATCGCACCCTGCGCCCTCCTCAGGGCACCGCCTCACCCGGGTTCTGCTGCCCCAAGGAGCACCCGGACCCCACTCTGGACCCCGCGGTGTCCCTGAGGATGTGCCCACACAGGACCCTCCCTGCAGACCCCCACGCTGGAGTTCTGGGGGATCTCCGTGCAGAACTTCATGAAGGGACCCCCCTATGGACCCCCACGGGGTCCCTGAGCAGGACCCTCACACCAGACCCCACTCTGGATCCCCTGGGTCACCGAGCAGGACCCTCACACCAGACCCCCCTGTGGACCCCCCGAGGGTCACTGAGCAGGACCCTCACACCAGACCCCCCTGTGGACCCCCCGAGGGTCACCGAGCAGGACCCCAGTGGAACGTCCCCCTTGGACCCCCGCAGGATCCCTAAGAAGGAACCCAAATTGTTCTGTCCTGCTGGACCCCACACAAGGGGACCCCTCGTGGGGCCTCCATGGGGTCCCTGAGCAGGACCCCACCACTGGACCTTTATGGGGACCCTGACCAGGAACCCCCCCACTGGACCCGAGCAGGATCTTCATACTGGACCTCCATGGGGTTCCCAAGCAGGACCCTCATACTGGACCTCCCCCAGACCCCCATGGGGACCCTGAGCACAGTGAGGACGCCCCCCACTGGAACCGAGCGGGACCCTCACACCGGACCCCCTCCCTGGACCTCCAGGGGGTCCCCAAGCAGGATCCCCCCACTTAAACCCCCACTGCACCTCCATGAGGCCCCCAAGCAGGACCCTCACACTGGACCCGCCACATTGGACCTCCACAGACCCCCCACTGGACCTCAATGGGGTCCCTGAGAAGGACCCCCCCCCAGGACCCCCCACTAGACCCTCATGGGGACCCTGAGCAGGACTCCCCCGGGGTCCCCGAGTGGGACCCTCCCCACTGGACCCTCCACTGTTCCTCTATGGAGTTCCCGAGCAGGACCTTCATACTGGACCCCTATGGGGACCCAGAGCAGGAACCCCACCACTGGACCCCCCACTTGACCCCCATGGTGTCCCTGAGCAGGACCCTCACACCAGACCCCCTCCCTGGACCTCAATGGGGTCCCCGAGCAGGACCCTTACACCGGACCCCCCAATGGACCTCAATGGGGTCCCTGAGAAGGACGCCACCACTGGACCCTCCACTGTTCCTCCATGGTGTCCTCGAGCAGGACCCCCCTCTCTGGACCCCCCACTTGACCTCCATGGGGACCCTGAGCAGGACCCCTCCCCCGGCCCCCCCTACTGGACCCTCATGGGGTCCCCAAGCAGGACCCTCCCCACTGGACCCCCATGGGTTCCCTGAGTGGGACCCCCTCACCGGACCCCCTCACTGGACCCCCACAGGGACCTCAAGCAGCCAAGCAGGACCCCCCACCACTGGACCCCCCCCCATTACCCCTATGGGGTCCCCAAGCAGGATCCCCGTCCACTGTCCCCTCCCTGGGGTCCCCTTCCCCCGGACCCCCCGAACTCCGCTCGGTCCCGCCCCGTACCCGGGGAGCAGCCGGTCCCTGGGCGTGGTTTATCCCCAAAGCCGCGCTCTAACGCCCCAAAAGGGGCGCGTCCCTTGGTGTCCCCACCCCCAGGGTCCATATAGCGGCTCCCGGCACGGCCCGGCCCGGCCATGACCCTGCGGCGGCGGCGGCGGCGGCGGCTCCGGCCGAAGGACGATGCGGCACCGGCGGCGGCCCCGGAGAGCCCCGGGCCCGCCGAGCTGTACCGAGCGCTGGCGGCGGCCGGCGGGACCCTGCCCCGTGTGCGCAAGGTAGGGCTGGAGGGGTAACTGCGCCTGTGCCCCCGGTTGTGCACCGGGACCCGTAAGGGGAGGAGCGGGGCTGCGTCGTGTCCCGCCCTGCCGCCGGTGGCTGCGGGTCCGCTCCGGTGTCTCCTCCGGGGCTCTTATCGTGCCCCGAGCGCCGCCCGAGCTTCCCTCGTGTCCCCCTCCCGCCCGAGCTTCCCTCATGTCCCCATCCCGCTCCGGTTTCCTCGTGTTCCCATCCCGCTCCGGTTCCCTCATGTGCCCATCCCACTCCGGTTTCCTCGTGTTCCCATCCCGCTCCGGTTCCCTCGTGTCCCCATCCCGCTCCAGTGTCCCCATCCCGCTCCAGTGTCCCCATCCCGCCTCGGTGTCTCGATGGCCGCCCCCAGCCTCTTGTACTGCCCCAGCATCTCCTCGCCCCTGTCCCATCATCCCGCAGCCCCTTCCCGGTGTCCCCGTCCCCTCTCGCTCCGTGTTGTCCCCACAAGCGTCACATCCTGTCCCGGATCCTGCTCGCGTCCTGTCCCGGGGTTGTCCCGGTACCCCCAACCTGGTTTCCCCCCGGGTCCCCACATCGAGGTCCCTCCTCACCTTCCCTCAGGAATCGTCCCTGTGCCCCTTCCCGGTGTCCCCAAGCCCCACATCCTGTCCTGGTCCTTCTCCCTGTCCTGCCCTGCAGCTTTTAGGGTGCAGGACCAGACCCCACCCCACTGTTTGTGGCTCTGTCACAGGGACGGGAGTGACCCCAGTGGGACAGGCGTGACCCCACAACCCCCCTGGACTCTGGCGAGGGATCGGCCACAGGGTACCGCAGGAGCGGGGTCTGATTTAGGGAGGGTAAGGGGCAGGTCACAAAGTGCTCTGGGTCTGATTTAGGGACAATAAGGGACAGGTCCCAGAGTGTCCTGGGTGTGATTTAGGGAGGATAAGGGGCAGATCACAGGGTCTGGTTTAGGGACAATAAGGGACAGGTCCCAGAGTGCTCTGGGTCTGATTTAGGGACAGTAAAGGACAGAGTAACCTGGGTCTGGTTTAGGGACAGCAGGGGACAGGTCCCAGAGTTCCCTGGGTCTGATTTAGGGACAGTAAGGGACAGGCCCCAGAGCTCCCCAGCTCTGGTTTAGGGACAGTAAGAGACACGTCCCAGCGCTCCTCAGGTCTGGTTTAGGGACATTAAGGGACAGGTCCCAGCGCTCCCCATGTCTGATTTAGGGACAGTAAGGGACAGGTCCCAGAGTACCCTCGGTCTGGTTTAAGGACAGGTCCCAGCGCTCCCCAGGGCTGGTTTGGGGACAGTAAGGGACAGGTCCCAGCGCTCCCCAGCTCTGGTTTGCAGCAGCACAGGGCCCTGGCAAAGCTCCTCTGTGCTCACGCTGGGCCCGACCCCGCCCTGAGGCTCCCCCGGCCCCGCGGCGCTTCCTGAGCGCGGTGGGAAGCGAGAGCGGAGCCGACATCCGGAGCAGAAGTGGCTGCTCTGCCACAGCCCAGACACGCACGGTGGCCTGGCCAGCAGGGCCACCACCAGCAGCCGTGTCCCCGAGGGCTCCAGAGCGTCCCTTCCTGTCCCTGCGGTGACGTGGGGCCCGGCGTGACAGGCGACAACGTTCCCGTTTCTGGTGGTTTTGTGCCTGTGGGTGCATTTGGGGAGGTCTGTCGTTATCTGGTGACACCAGCAGGGCCGGTGACACCCATGTGGCAGGCAGAGCGCAGAGAGAACCACTGGCACCCTGCTGCCACCAAACCGTGGCATATGCCACCAAACCGTGCCATGTGCCACCCTCAAGGGACAGCTTTTGGTGACACTGTGCTGCACTGCCAGAGCCCAGCACCCTGCTGCCACCAAAGCGTGCCATGTGCCACCCTCAAAGGGCAGATTTTGGTGACATTGCCTGTGCTGCACTGGGGTCACCAGAGCCCAAAACCCTGTTGCCACCAAACCGTGCCATGTGCCACCCTCACAGGACAGATTTTGGTGACACTGCCTGTGCTGCACTGGGGCCACCAAGCTGTGCCATGTGCCACCCTCAAGGGACAGCTTTTGGTGACAGTGCCTGTGCTGCACTGGGGCTGCACCCCCAGAGGGGCATTTGGGGACAGCCCTGTCCCCTCCTGAGGGTCCTGCCAGTTCCTCCACCCGCCCACGCCTCTGCTCCTGCCACAACAGCGACATTGTCTGGGCTGGGGGGGAGGGAGGGGTGGATTTTGCACAAAAACCCCGATTTTGTGGCCACAACAGGGCCCCTCTGTGCCGGGGCCCCTCAGAGCGTGGGGTGGGGCTGACGTCAAAGCGTGGGGCGAGCCCCGGGCGCTCTGAGGGTGCTTTGAGCCCTGATCAAAGCCCTGTTATGCCCAGGGGGCACCCGGGTGCTGCCTTGGCACGGTTTGGTGCTGTCCTGGTGGGGGATGTCCCCTCGGGTGTCCCCTCATGGCTCTTCCTTTGTCACAGGACACTGGGTTCAAGTGGGCATCGCCCAGCCAGTCCCCGGAGGAGCACAGGTAGGGGCAGGGGGCACAGGAGTGGGGCTGGGGTCCCTGTCCCAGAGGGCTGGAGCTTGGCCTTGGGGACATTGTTCCACTCTGGATACCCTGGGAGGGCTGGAAATGAGGGGGATTTTATGGGGGAGGTGAGAGCAACCATGGGGTCACAGTTCAGACACCCCCAGACCCTGTGGGCACATCCTGCCTGGCACCCACAGGATTCTGACAAAGGCGAACTGGGGGGCAGAGTGGGGTGAATCCCATCTCAGGCATTTTAGGGAGCCCAAAGCAGCATTTTGAGGTTCCCACAGGCAGTTTAGGGTGTGCAGGCATTTTGGGGAGCCCAAAGCAGCATTTTTGAGGTTCCCACAGGCAGTTTTGGCCGTGCCTGATGCCCTGACCCCTGTGTCCCCCAGGAAGGTGGTGATGCTGAAATGGGGCTGGGGTCCCTGTCCCAGAGGGCTGGAGCTTGGCCTTGGGGACATTGTTCCACTCTGGATACTCTGGGAGGGCTGGAAATGAGGGGGATTTTATGGGGGAGGTGAGAGCAACCATGGGGTCACAGCTTAGACACCCCCAGACCCTGTGGGCACATCCTGGGGGGCAGAGTTGGGTAAATCCCATCTCAGGCATTTTGGGGAGCCCAAAGCAGCATTTTGAGGTTCCCACAGGCAGTTTTGGGTGTGCAGGCATTTTGGGGAGCCCAAAGCAGCATTTTTGAGGTTTGCACAGGCATTTTTGGGTATGCCTGGTGCTCTGACCCCTGTGTCCCCCAGGAGGGAGGTGATGCTGAAATGGGGCTGGGGTCCCTGTCCCAGAGGGCTGGAGCTTGGCCTTGGGGACATTGTTCCACTCTGGATACCCTGGGAGGGAAATGAGGGGGATTTATAGGGCAGGTGAGAACAGCCATGGGGTCACAGCTCCCTGGTGGGCTCAGGCACCCCAAACCCTGCCTGACACCCAAAGGCAAACTGGGGGGTGTGAATCCCATCTGAGGCATTTTGGGGAGCCCAAAGCAGCATTTTGAAGTTTGCACAGGCAGTTTTGGCCATGCCTGGTGCCCTGATCCCTGTGTCCCTCAGGAAGGTGGTGACGCTGCAGAAGAAGGCAGAGGAGTCCTTTGGCTTCGAGATCCAGGTGGGTGCTGAGCTGAGCTGAGCTGAGCTGAGCCGAGCCTGGCCCTGCTCCCCACCCTCCCTCCCCACACCTTGCTTTGCATCAGGGTATTTTTAATTTGCCTCTGATCCCGGGGTTATTTTTAGAGGTGACAGAATCACCAAACCTCCCCGTGCTGCGCTGCTTGGGCAAACCCCCCCAGCAGCAACCCAACGCTGCATTGCTGCCCTTGGGGGGGTCCCTGGGGGTCGGGGTGCCCCTCACTGCAGCCCCCTCATTGCAGACCTACGGGCTGCACCACCAGGACAGCAACAGCGTGGAGATGTTCACCTTCGTGTGCCGCGTGCACGGTGGGAGCCCGGCCGAGGCCGCGGGGCTCAAGGCTGGTGAGCACAACCTGGGGGGACCCAGGGGAGCCCCATCAGCGGGGAGCAGCCCCCCTGAACCCGTCCTGCTCACCCTGTGCTCCAGGGGACACCATCACGGGCGTCAACGGGCTCAACGTGGAGGGAATCCGGCACCGGGAGATCGTGGAGATCATCAAGAGCTCAGGGAATGTTCTCCGGTGAGTGGGGGGCTCAGGGGGGGCTCGGGGGGGCCGCAGCCCCCTAGTGCTGACAGCTGCTGACCCACAGGCTCAACACTCTCTATGGCACATCCATCAGGAGGGCTGAGCTGGAGGCACGGCTGCAGTACCTGAAGGTGAGCAGGGGCTGCCAGGGGGGCTGGGGACCCCTCAGCAGGGTCCTGACCCCCTCAACAGGGTCCTGGGCACCCTTCAGCAGGATCCTGGGACCCCTCAGGGAGTCCTGACCCCCTCAGCAGGGTCCTGACCCCCTCACCCCCTCCCCACAGCAAACCCTCTACGAGAAATGGGGCGAGTTTCGCTCGCTGATGGTGCAGGAGCAGCGGCTGGTGCGGGGTGAGTGGGGGTCTCGGGGGGTTGTGGGAGGGTTTTGGGGCACCACCCGCCTCCCCTGACACCCCCGTGTCCCCCATCAGGCGTGGTGGCCAAGGACCCCAGCATCTACGACACGCTCGAGTCCATCCGCTGGTGCCTGCAGGGGGAGGCGTTGCCGGGGGGCTCCTCCCGAGCCAGCGGCAGCGATGACTCCCTGTACCAGACCTGCGTCTTCGCCTCCTCCAGCTCCCTGAACGGCGACAATGATGGTGACAAGGACAAGGATGAGGACATCGGGGGTCCCGCGCCCCCTCCCCCGCGCCCCCGGCCCGCTCTGGGTCGCAGCTCCAGCCTCAGGTGTCCGGGGGCACCGGGGGCTGCGGGGAAGTTTTGGGCCCGGGCCGGGGATCCCGGGGACGGAGCCGCCGCCGTCCCCCGCAAGAACCGGCACAGCAGCTTCCGCCAGCGGCTGCTCAAGTTCATCCCGGGGCTCAACCGGGCGCTGGAGGAGGAGGAGAGTCACCTCTAAGCCTCCCCAGGACTATTTATTTATTTATTGTGAGGGGCTTCGTTCGCTCTGCCCACCCCCAATCCCTGCGGGGCCGCACGGAGCAGGTTTGGGGATTGTGACGCTGAGGGACGGACACAGCAGCAAGGGACAGACAGACGTGAGGACACTCCTGGAGCGGCTCACGGAGCTCTGGGGAGGGGGAGCACCGGGGGAGCCCCGAATTCCCCAGGCTGGGGGGGCCCTGGGGGTCCCACCCTGCTCTGCTGTTGTACCTCGCTAATACAGAGAGGATTTGCAGCGATGCTTGGCTGTGAGTGAGGGGGCACAGAGCCCCAGTTCTGTCCCTTTGGGGTGACACACCGATGTCACCTCGGACGTGACTGAGCTGCCGGGGTCCCCCCTTGTCCCCCCCGGTGCCTTCGGCCACGTCCCGGCGCTGCGGGGCCCCGGCCCGGCCCTTCCTGCCCCGTTTCCTGCGGCAGCCGGCGGGAAGCGAGTCCCACCCCGAGCCCTTCCTCCGGCAGGGGACGCGGTGCCCGCGCAGGACGGGCGCTGGGGACCCCCCAAAACTGCCTCGGTGTACCCCAGAGCCGCTGAAGGAGCTGGGGGGCAAAAGCACCCCCAGAGCCGGGGGTCACAAAGCGTCCCCAGAGCCGCTGGAGGAGTTGGGGGTCACAAAGAGCCCCCGGAGCCGCTGAAGAGATTGGGGGACACAAAGCGCCCCCAGAGCCGGGGCTCACACAGCACCCCCAGAGCCGCTGAAGGAGTTGGGGGGCACAAAACGCCCCCAGAGCTGCGGGACTGCTACAACACTGGTGTGTGCACAGATGGAGCACCGAGAGCCCCCAACCCTCTGCTGTGCCTCAGTTTCCCCTCTGTCCTGCCTCAGTTTCCCCTCTCGTGCCTCAGTTTCCCCTCTGACCTGGCTGTTTAAGGACCCCAACTCTCCCTGTCCCCCCCAGGGGAGCCTGTGGAGATCTGGGGTGACAACTGCAGGTGTCTGTGTGTGCCATGGAGGGAAATGGGGGGCTCAGCCGGCCCCCCCCACACTCTCGTGCCTTGTCCCCGTTCCAGGAGAGCTCCGTGCTGGACATTTATGGTCCGGTTCCCGCAGCCCCGGCTGCTCTCCGCGTCCCTCCCGCGTGCTGCCAGCCCCGGAGCATCCCGTTCCTGCCAGAGCCACCACGGGACCCCCCCCTTGGTGGCAGCTGCCACCCCACGCTCGGCTTTTTATAGCCGCGACCTGGGGCTGCGTGTGCTCGGAGCGGGGCAGGTGGCCGTGGGACAGCTGGAGTCACGCGTGGCACCGCCTGGGCACGGCCGGGGCACCGGGCCCGCCCCGGAGCAGCCTGTCATTACCGATAAATATAGAGCGGGGGCACGGAGCCAACCGTGGGCCCCGGGCGGGCACGGGCACCCTGGTGTGGCCATCGTGTCCCCACCGGGTGTCGGGAGGGATCCCCGGGTCCCCCCGCGCCCCCGTGGCCTTGCGGGGCTGGTTGGGCTCGGGTTTCCTCCCCCGACGCCGCCGCGGCCTCTCCCGGGGTACAGCTAATCCCGGGATGCGGGGGCCGCCGGTGTCACCGCCCGGTAACCGGGCGAGGGATGCGGGGGGCTGCAATCCCCCCGATCCGCGCCCCCGGTGCCGTTGGGACCCCCGGCAGCTCCGGGACCCTCCTGTCTGCCCTGTCCCGAGGGTTCGGGGCCGCATCCCCGGGCTGGCACCCGTGGCCTCGCCGGGTCCCGCCGGGCCCGGGGGATCCCTCCGGGGGCGTCCCCGGTGCTGCCGAGGGATCCCCAAGACGTCAGTGACCGGCGTGACGTCAGCGGGCAGGTGTGACGTCACGGAACCCCGTCGGGGGCGGGCGACAGCGAGAAACGGGGCCGGAGCGAGGGAACGGGGAAGAGCGCCCGGTCCTGGGACGCCTCCTCCGGTACCACCGTGCGCCCTCCGGTACCCCCGGGCCGCCTCCTCCGGTAGCCCTGTGCGCCCTCCGGACCCCTCTGTAGGGCTGTCCCCGCTGCTGCTCACGGGGTTTCGTGAGGCCAGGCAGGGTCCCGGTACCGGCTGCGGCTCCCGGGGCGCCGGGCACCGGCTCCAGCCCCCCGGTGGGACGGTGCCGCTGTAGGGGCGCTAACGGGGGAGCACTAACGGCGCTGTCGGCCCTGGGGGTGCTGCCAAACCGGCCACAGCGGGCCGGGTCCCCAAGACCCCCCGGTTTGTCCCTGGGAGTGGGAAGGGACGGTACCGAGCCGGTACCGACGTATACCGGGAGATACCGAGGGAGTAACGGGGCGGTACCGGGGGGTATCACGGGAGGTGCTGGAGTGGTACCGGGATGGTACCGGGTATTGAGGGGGCACCGGGATGGCACCAGAGAGTATTGAGGGAGTACCGGGATGGTACCGGAGGGTACTGAGGGGGTACCGGGATGGTACCGGGTATTGAGGGGGCACCGGCATGGTACCGGAGGGCATTGAGGGGTACCGGGATGGTACCGGAGGGTACTGAGGGGGTACCGGGGTGGTACCGGAGGGTATTGAAGGGGTACCGAGATGGTACCGGAGGGTACTGAGGGGGTACCGGGATGGTACCGGAGGGCATTGAGGGGGCACCGGGATGGTACCAAAGGGCACTACGAAGTTCTGGGTCTCTTCCGTTCACCGTTCGGCCTCCCGCGGGCCCGGGCCGGGCTGAGCTCATTTTCCAGCCCCCGGGCGCTGTTCCCGGCGCCGCCGCCCGCCAGCAGCCGCCGCTGTTTCCATCGGGCCGGCCAGGGGCTCCCCGCGGGGACCGGGCGGGGGCGGGACCCCGCGTCATCCCCCCCGCACCCGGCACCGGGCGGGAGGAGCCCGGGGGTGCCGGTGCCGCTGAGCACCGGAGAGACCCAGATGGGCACCGGGCATAGCGGTACCGGGGGTACGGGAGGCACCGGGGGCACACCGGGAATGGGGCAACGGAGATACCGGCACCGAGAGGGCTCCGGGGATAATGGTACCGGAGATACCGGCACCGGAATGGGGGCACCGGGGTACCGGCAACGAGGGGACACCGGGGATACCGGCACCAAGAGAGAGATGGGCGCTGGGCATAGCGGTACCGGGGGCACACCGGGGGCACTGATTCTGACACCGAGAGAGAGATGGGCACTGGGCATAGCGGTACCGGAGGCACCGGGGGCACACCGGGAACGGGGCAATGAAGACACCGGCACCGAGGGGGCTCCGAGGATGCCAACACTAAGGGGACAGCGGGGATAGCGGTACCGGAGATACCGGCACCGAGAATGGGGGCACCGGGGTATAGGCAACGAGGGGACGCCGGGGATACCGACCCCGAGAGGTTACCGGAGGTGGGGACTGAAGTGATGCCAGCACCGAGGGGGCATCGGGGGTGGGCGCAACGAGGGGACACCGGAAACACCGGCAGCAAGAGAGCGCAGGCCATGGAGGCACCGGGGCACGGTGTACCGGCAGCGAGGAGACACCGATGGGCCCCCGGGGACACCGGGGATACCCCGGCCACCGGGGCCTCCCTCCCCCCTCCGGCGGCCCCCGGGGGGGATCAGAGGGGAAGCGAGGGGCGCCCGAGCTATTTTTAGCCGGGGCCGCGGGGGTATTTTTAGCCGGGGCCGCGGGTGCGTCAATGGAACCCCGCGTGCGTCACGGCCGCGCCCCCGCCGGGGCCGCCCCCCCCGTGCGTCACCGGCCCCGCGCCGCCCCGCGCGTCACCGAGCGCTTAAGAGAAAGTAGTGGCGGGGCCGGAGCCCGGCGGAGCCCGCGGAGCGGCCGTGGCAGGAGCACGAACCGGAGCGCCGCCGCGCCGGCACCCGGGTACGGGCGGCACCGGGATGCGGGGGGCACCGGGGGCACCGGGGGTCGTGCTGGCAGTGGGAGGTGCACGGTGTCCCGGTGGCGTCCCGGTGGCACCGGGGGGGTAGGAGCCGTTTGATTCAGATCGGGCGTGTCAGGTGGCACCGAGGGGATCCCGGGTGGGGCATCCCGGTGGCACCGGGGGCTCAGGGCGGTGGGCGTCCTGCAAGGTGGATGCATGTGGGAGGGTGTCCCGGTAGCACCACGGGCAACCGGGTGGCGCGTCCCGGTGGAGCCGGGGCTGGCGTGTCCGAAGGGCGCTGTGGAAGGAACTCCCGGTGTCACCGGTGAGAGTCGGGGGTGCCGGTGGAAGGCACCGGGCGGTGCGCGCTGTGCGGGGTTGCCCCTTGTAGGTACCCGGTGGCGCCGGGAGGAACCGAGTGTGCACGGGAGGTGCACGGGATGGGACGTCCCGGTGACACCGGGAGGAGCTGGGTCAGGAGTGCCGGTAGCACCGGGCGTCGCGCAGCCGGCGGGAATCGGCAGAGCGACCCCCGGCCCCGGGGGTCCCGGGACGAGCCCGACAGCCCCCTCTCCTCTGTGAGGAGCTGCGCAGCACCGGGAGCGGCTCCTTGGTTCCCCCATCCCGGCACCGCAACCGGGACGCAGGGAATCCCCGTGCCTGGGGTTGGCAGCGGGCAGAGCCGCCCCACAGCGGGCATCACCCGGGATCCCCGAGCAGAGCGGGCACGGAACCGGAGAGGGCAGGCAGGAACGCGCGGGCAGCACACGGAGCTGGATGTGCGGGCAGTACCGGGATGTGCGGGCAGCACCGGGAGCTGGCAGCGGAGAGCACCGGGATGTGCGGGCAGCACCGGGATGTGCGGGCAGCCAGACCCGTGCCGGCAAACCCCCCGTGCCCACCGCCGCTGCGGCATTACCGGGCACAGCAGGTGCCGGCAGGGACGTGGGCAGCGAGAGCCACCCCCGGTGCCACCGGCTGCTCTCGCCCGCCCGCGGCTCGGGGCCCGGTGCCAGCGGCTGCCACCCGCCCGTGCAGGCGGCAGCGTCGGGGCTGGGCACGGACGGGCAGCTGCCCTCCCTCCCTCCCTCCCAAAGCAGGAATCTGCAAACAGAGCCCGGCCGTGGGCAGAGCAGAGGCTGCTGCGGGAATCTGTGCCCGCTCCTCGGGGGGACAGAGCAGAGGGGACCCCAAATTCTGTCAGCGAGTGGGTGGGAGGAAAAATGTCCGAACTGGGAGCACGGGAAAGGTCGAGGAGTTGCATCTGCCGAGGTTTTCATGAAGGCAAGGAAACTCCCGCTGGCACAGACAGTGTGCCCTGGGGTGTGTACCCAGCTCGGCCTGAGGTCCCCTGGGCTTCATTCGGGGACAGGAGGCAGCTGTGGGGTCACTGTTCCCTCTGCCCCCGGCTGGACGCGCACAAACCCCACCGGGACCGCCAGCAGGGGGCTGGGGGCCGGTGCCATCCCGCGGGTGCCAGCGCTGGAGCCACGCTGGGTATTTTTAACCGCGGCTCCTGGCGGGGTGTCGGCTTTCCTGGTGCCCCAAAGAGCTGCCCAGATTTGGCTGGGGGAATCCGGGGGCTCTGGCAGCGGGGGCCGTGCCAGGACGTGGCCGGGGGCCAGCGCAGCGTGACCTTTAAAGGTCTGCGAGATGAATTACATTATCGTCTTGCCATAGGGGTCACTTCTGGCTTGGCTTTCAGCTGGACACAGGGCTCTGCTTGTCTTATGTCCCACCAGATCCGTGCACACAGCCCTGGGGGGCTCCAGGGACAGAGGGTGGGCTCCTCTCCCCCTCACCTGCGCTGATGTTCCCAAAAAGCCCTAAAAGGGATTATGGGCGAAGTGGAGTCCTCAAAATCCAGCTCGGCCCTAACTCCAGCTTTGCTTGGCCAGCCCGAGGGCTTGGGAATCTGCTGGCCACATTCCTCCCTCCTTTCCTTTCGGGGCCTTTTGCTAAGCCAGCGTTTTGGGCAATGTCCTTTGCACCCATTGGCTGTGCCGTGACCTTTCCTGGGGACACTGGTGGCCGCCACCACGCTGCCAGTGGCCATGGAGGTGCAGCTCCAGCACGAGGAGAGCCCTGGGGAGGTTCTCACCGTTCCCACCCTGTCCCCATCCTCTGTCTGGATGCCGGAGGGGCTGTACCGGGTCCCCTGGATTTCTGCTGGGGAGCCTGAGCTGTCCCCAGGGTGACGCCTGGATTTGTCCTGGGGTGACACCTGGATTTCTGCTGGGGGAGCCCCAGCTGGTGGGAGGTGACACCTGGATTTCTGCTGGGGGTGACACTTGGGTTTCTGCTGGGGAGCCCAAGCTGTGCCCAGGGTGACACCTGGATTTCTGCTGGGGTGACACTTGGGTTTCTGCTGGGGAGCCCAAGCTGTGCCCAGGGTGACACCTGGATTTCTGCTGGGGTGACACCTGGATTTCTGCTGGGGAGCCCCAGCTGGTGGGAGGTGACACCTGGATTTCTGCTGGGGTGACACCCAGATTTCTGACGCCCCTCTCTCCCCGCAGAGATGCCCTGCATCCAGGCCCAGTGCAGCACCACGGGCGCCGGCCCCTGCGAGCGCTGCCCGGCCGAGCTGCTCAGCCCCGAGGGCGGCCGATTCCCCATGGAAGTGGCCGGAGCCGATCTGGCGGCCGCCGCTCCAGCCCTGCCCAGCTTCAGCACCTTCATGGACGGCTACGCCGGCGAGTTCGACGCCTTCCTCTACCAGCTGCCCGCCAGCGGCCAGCCCAGCGCCGCCACCGCCTTCAAGCTGGAGGATTTCCAGGTGTACGGCTGCTACCCCAGCGCTTTTGGGGGGCAGCCGGAAGAGACCCTGTCCTCCAGCGGCTCGGACTGCTACGGGAGCCCCTGCTCCATCCCCTCGCCCGCCACACCCGGCTTCCAGCCCCCGCAGGCCGCGGCATGGGAGGGCTCCTTCGGGCCGTACTCGCCGCTGCCGAACTATGAGGCCGGGCAGCCCTGGGCTGAGCCAGCCAAGAGTGGGGGGTCTCAGCCTCCATTTTTCGCCTTCAGCCCCCCGGCCCCCAGCCCTGCTGGCTCCCCGGCGACCCTCAAGGGGCAGCTGGGCCCCTCGCCCCGTGTGGACCCGCGGCTGCTGGACACAGACGCGTTTCCCCCGAGCCAGGGGGGTCCCAGGGGGTTCGGGGGGCTGCCCTTGGCTCCCAGCTCGCCGCTGCTGGAGGGGCCCAGCAAGGTGCGCAGCCCCGGGGCGGGCGAGGGGCGCTGCGCCGTCTGCGGGGACAACGCGTCGTGCCAGCACTACGGCGTGCGCACCTGCGAGGGCTGCAAGGGGTTCTTCAAGGTGAGGATACTCCCACAGTGCTCTGCGGCGGCGGGAGGATGCTGAGGGGTGGCCCGGGCAGGGACACGGAGCCGGATGCTGGGCTGGAGAGGGAGGCACGGGAGGACAGAAGGGTTTTTGTTCGGAGCTGAGCGCCCCGGGCTGAGCTCGGCCGCTCCTTCCCCACGCGCAGCGCACAGTGCAGAAGAATGCCAAGTACATCTGCCTGGCCAACAAGGACTGCCCTGTGGACAAGCGGCGCAGGAACCGCTGCCAGTTCTGCCGCTTCCAGAAGTGCCTGGCCGTGGGCATGGTCAAAGAAGGTACCAGAACCCGTCCCCAGTCCCCTCTCTGCAGCCTCTGTGGCTGCTCTGAGGACAGGCACTCACTGCAATCCCAACACAGTGGTCCGGACCGACAGCCTGAAGGGGAGGCGGGGCCGGCTCCCCTCCAAGCCCAAGCAGCCGCCGGACGCGTCCCCGGTCAGCCTCATCACCTCGCTGGTGCGGGCTCATATCGACTCCATCCCCAGTGCCACCAAGCTCGACTACTCCAAGGTAGGGCTGGTGCCACTCCACACCCTGCCCAGGGCTGTGCTGGGGCTGCGGTTGGATCCTGACCCATCCCCATCCCAATCCTGACCCATCCCCATCCCAGTTCCTCCCACATCCCCATCCCAGTTCCTGATGCTGTCCTCATCCCTGTTCCTGATCCAAACTCATCCCTGTTGCTAACCCAACAGTTCCTGACCTGTCGCCATCCCAAATCTTGATCCCATTCCCAGCCAGTTCCTTACCTATCTTCATCCCAGGTCCTGATCCCATTCCCACCCCGATTCCCAATCCACCCCTGTCCTAGGTCCTGACCCATTCCAGTTCCTGACTCATCCTCATCTCAGTCTTGACCCATCCCCATCCCAATCCTGACTCATCCCAGTCCTGGCCCATCCCCATCCCAGATCCTGACCCATCCCCATCCCCATCCCGATCCCAATCCTGACCCATCCCAATCCTGACCTGTGCCCATCCCACTCCTGACCCATCTTAGTCTTGACCCATTCCCGTCCCAGTTCTTTACCCGTGCCCATCCCAATCTTGACCCATCCCAATCCCAGTCCTGGCCCATCCCATCCCAGATCCTGACCCATTCCCGTCTGTCCTGACCCGTGCCCATCCCAATCCTGATCCATGCTCGTCCCACTCCTGACCCCTCTTAGTCCTGACCCATTCCCATCCCAGTTCTTTACCCGTGCCCATCCCAATCCTGACCCATCCCTATCTCAGCCCTGACCCATCCCCGTCCCAATCCTGACCCATTTCCATCCCAGTCCTGACCTATCTTCATCCCAGTTCTTCATCCATTCCCATCCCAGTCCTGACGTTTCCCCATCCCTGTCCTGGCCCATCCCACCTCACTCCTGACCCATGGCCATCCCAGTTCTTCACCCATCCAAATCCCAGTTCTTTACCCGTGCCCACCCCACTCCTGACTCGTGCCCACGGCAGTTCCAGGAGTCAGCCCCGTGCCCGTTTGAGAAGGAGGACTCCGTGGACGTGCAGCAGTTCTACGACCTCCTCACCGGCTCCATGGACGTCATCCGCAAGTGGGCCGAGAAGATCCAGGGCTTCAGCGAGCTGCCCAAGGAGGACCAGGACCTCCTGCTGGAGTCAGCCTTCCTGGAGCTCTTCATCCTTCGCCTGGCGTACCGGTGAGCCCTGGGGCAGCCCAGAGCAGGGGGTGACACCTGCGTTTCTCCTGGGGGTGACACCTGGATTTCTGCCGGAGGTGACACCTGGGTTTCTCCTGGGGGTGACACCTGGATTTCTGCTGGGGGAGCCCAAGCTGTGCCCAGGGTGACACCTGGACTAGTGCTGGGGGTGACACCTGGATTTCTCCTGGGGGTGACACCTGGGTTTCTCCTGGGGGTGGCACCTGGGTTTCTGCTGGGGGTGACACCTGGATTTCTACTGGGGGTGGCACCTGGATTTCTGCTGGGCGAGCCCGAGCTTGGGGTGGTGACACCTGAATTTCTGCTGAGAGTGACACTTGGGTTTCTGCTGGGGGAGCCCAAGCTGGGGAGGGTGACACAAGGATTTCTGCTGGGGTGACACCTGGATTTGTGATGGGGGAGCCCCCGAGCTGGGGGGGCGACACCTGGGTTTCTCCTGGGGGAGCCCAAGCTGGGGGAGGTGACACCTGGATTTCTGCTGGGGGAGCCCAAGCTGTGTCCCAGGGTGACACCTGGATTTCTCCTGGCAGCTCCAAGCCAGAGGAAGGCAAACTCATCTTCTGCAACGGCGTGGTGCTGCACCGGCAGCAGTGCGTGCGTGGCTTCGGCGAGTGGATCGACGCCATCCTCGAGTTCTCCCAGAGCCTGCACCGCATGAGCGTCGATGTCCCCTCCTTCTCCTGCCTCGCCGCCCTCGTCATCATCACAGGTGAGATCCTCCCAGCTCCAGGCTTGTCGCTGTCCCCATCGCCACCTGCTGTCTGTCCCCGCCGTCCCACACGCTGTCTGTCCCCGCAGACCGGCACGGGCTGAAGGAGCCCAAGCGGGTGGAGGAGCTGCAGAACCGCATCGTGGGCTGCCTCAAGGACCACGTGGCGGCAGCAGGGCCCGAGCCCGGCCGCTCCAGCTGCCTCTCCAAGCTGCTGGGCAAGCTGCCCGAGCTGCGCAGCCTCTGCACCCAGGGCCTCCAGCGCATCTTCTACCTCAAGCTGGAGGATCTGGTGCCACCACCACCCATCGTGGACAAGATCTTCATGGACACTCTGCCTTTCTGAGTCCCGGGCAAGGGACTGCCGTGAGCCCCTGACCTGCCTGGGGACATCTGGGACCCGCCCTGGGCAACCCTGGTTCAGTCCAAGGATGCCTGGGAACCCTCTGGGCACCCCTGGGTCACCCCTGGGATGCCTGGAACATCCCCTGGGTACTCCTAGATCAGCCCTGGGATGTCTGGGACCCACCCTGGGCAACGCTGGTTCAGTCCAAGGATGCCTGGGAACCCTCTGGGCATCCCTGGGATGCCTGGAACATCCCCTGGGTACCCCTAGATCAGCCCTGGGATGTCTGGGACCCTCCCTGGGTGACCCCCAGAATGCCCAAAAACCACCTGGGGTATCCCTGGATCACTCCCGGGACGCCTGGAACCTGCCCTGGTCACTCCTGGATCAGCTCTGGGATGCCCAGGACATCCCTGTGGACTCCTGAACGACCTCTGGGACACCTGGGACCCTCCCCCCCCAAGGCCATTCCCAAGACTCCATGCATACCCCTGGATCACCCCCAGAACACCTGGAACCCCCTCCTGGGTCATCCACAGGATGTCTGGCACCCCCTGGGCACCCCAAATTGCTCCTGGGATGCCTGGGACCACCCCTGCATCACTCCAGGGATGCCTGGGATCGCTCCCAGGATATCTGGAACATCCCCTGGGTACCCCTAAATCAGCCCTGGGATGTTTGGGACGCCCCCTGGGTGACCCTCAGAATGCCCAAAAACCACCTGCGGATCCCTGGATCACTCCTAGGATGCCTGGAGCCCCCTCCTGGGTCATCCACAGGATGCCTGGAACCCCCTGGCACCCCTAGATCGCTCCTGGGATGCCTGGGACCACCCCTGCATCACTCCAGGGATCCCCTGGATCACCCCCAGAACACCTGAACCCCCTCCTGGGTCATCCACAGGATACCTGGGACCCCCTGGGCACCCCTAGATCGCTCCTGGGATGCCTGGGACCACTCCTGCTTCACTCCAGGGATGCCCGGGATCACTCCCAGGAAATCTGGGTCCCCCCTCAGATGCCTGAGTCTTCTTGGGGGCACTTTTTGGGGTGCCCCACGTGCCTTCAAGGCCCAGGGCGCTGCCTCCCAGCAGCCCCGGTGCCTTCTTCCCCGGGGGCATCGCCGGTGCGGTGCCCTCCTCCCCTGTAAAAACGCCCCTGATGTAAATAGCGCCGGCCGGGTCCTGTACAGAGCGGGGGGCGTGAGCGAGGGGTGGCTCAGGCCCCCTCAACCCCCCTTTATATATATTTTTCTGATTTTCCCTCTTTTTGGCCATTTTCTGTATATAAACTTGTCCGTACAGTGAGAGCCACTGGGCGGGACCTTTGTCCCTTGTGTTCCCTTTTAGTTAAAATTCGGGGGTTGGGAAGGGGGGACAGAGCAGCGGGGTTGGGGACAGCCGGAGAAGGGGGGAAAATGGGATGTTGGAGCTGAGGGCAGCCAGAACATCGAGGAGAGGGAGAGCCGGAGGGAACAAAGAGGACACGGGAGCTGGTGACAGCCGGGCTGGGGACAGTCAGAGCTGGGGACAGGAGCTGGTGACAGCCGGAGCTCGGGGACAGTGTAGATGTCAGAGCTGGGGGCAGCTGGGACACTTGGGCTGGATAAAAACAAGACGCTGGAGCCGGGGAAAAAACAGAGAACTGGAGCTGGGACAGCCGGGGTGATGGAGCCGGGGACAGCCGGAGTCAGGATGCCAGAGCTGGGGACAGCCAGGCCGGGGCGTCTGGGGACAGCTGGGGCACCGGAGACAGCGACAGCCCGGATGCCAAACCGGCGACAGCGGGCCCGGTGGGTCTGGGGACAGCCGGGATGTCAAACCGGGGACAACCCGGATGCCAAAATCGGGGACAGCCGGGGCTCCAGAGCTGGGGACAGCCGGACCGGTGGATCTGGGGACAGCTGGGGCACCGGAGCAGGGACAGCCCGGATGCCAAACCGGCGTCAGCCGGACCGGTGGATCTGGGAACAGCTGGGATGCCAAACCCGGGACAGCCGGGGCTCCGGAGCCGGGGACAGCCGGGACAGTGGATCTAGGGACTGTCAGGGCTCCAGAGCCGGGATACCAAAGCTGGGGACAGCCGGGGCTCCAGAGCGGGGACAGCCGAGATGTCAAACCAGGGACAACCGGGGCTCCAGATCCGGGACAGCCGGGGATCCATAGCCGGGGACAGCCGGGGACAGCCGGAATGCTAAACCAGGGACAGCCGGGACGTCAAACCGGGGACAGCCGGGGCTGCGGAGTCAGGATGCCAGAGTTAGGGACAGCCCGGGCTCCGGAGCGGGGACAGCCGGGGCTCCAGAGCTGGGGTCAGCAGGGGCTCCAGAGCTGGGGACAGCAGGGGCTCCAGAGCTGGGGACAGCCGGGGACAGCCGCGGCTCCGGAGCCTCACGTTGCCCACGGCGCTGCCCTTGAACCGTCACTCACCCCCGGCTGCCGCTGGCCCGCACCTGTCGCCTGCCTGATTTATCCTCCCCAAAATAACCGGGAAGCGTGACCGTGATCCCCGCTCGTGTTCCTGGGGACGTGGCCGCTGGCAGGGCCAGCCCTGGCGGGGGGGTGGTGGCAGCGTTTGGGGTCCCCAGCCCAGGAGTTGGGGACAGAGCCGGGGACACCAAAGCAGGGGGTGACACGCGTGGCTGATTTGTCCCCCGGGCTTGTCGCCTTCCTGCTGCTGGGGACAGCCTGGCCCCGGAGCAAACTGAACGGGGACACTCGGAACAAGGGCCACATTGAGTCACGGGGCCGGGGGCGCCCGCAGTGCCACAAAACAAGGGTCCCTCTGTCCCCCCCGCCGCCGCCCCCGCCTGGGGACAGCGCTGACGCACGGCGGGGCCACGAACGGGAACCGGGGCACGGTGGGCACCGGGTTGGCACCGGCACGATTGCTCTGTCCCCTCCCCACAGCTCAGAGCTGCCCTCTGCCACCTTGTCCCCATCGCTGTCCCCGTTCCCTCGGCACGGGCTGCTGCGGGAGGGACGGGGACGGTACCGGCAGGGCAGAGTGAAAGCAGCTCCGTGGAACCGGCGGGCGGGCCCGGGGCTGCCTGGCACAGACACGGCCGTGTCGGTGTGTGCCCGCACGGTGACACGGCCACATTCCTGCTGCGACTGACACCGAACCATGTGTCCCCATGGCAGGATGGCAGATCAGTGCCCCAAATGTCCCCTTTCCCTGTGTCCCTATGTCCATCCATCCCCTGTTCCTTTGTCTTCCAAGTCCCTGAGTTCCTGCTCCCTCTGCTCCCCATACCCACGTGTCCCCATATCCATCCCTATCCCCATACTCAGCCATCCCACTGTCCCTTTCTCCCCCTAGTCTTCATGTCCCTTTATCCCGCGTCCCCCTGTGTCACCCTGTCCCTTCTGTCCATCTGTCCCTGTGTCCCCCCTTTTTTTATTTCCCTTGCTGTCCCATATCCTTGTGTCCCTTCATACCCAGGTGTCCCTCGTGCCCCTGTTCCCCTGTATCCGGTGTCCCCACGCGTGTCCCCCCCGTTGTCGCCTTGTCCCCGCAGGGGTCAGCGGGGGACGCCGGCCCCGCTGCAGTACCCCCGAGGAGCCTCCAGCAGAGGGGGCGCCATGGAGCAGGTGAGACGCTCTGGGCTGCGGCATTCCAGCTCTATGTCCCTTTTGGAACGAACCAAGCAGCGAAGAGGGGTCTCCGCGGACTCGGAACGGCCAATCCACCTCCGGTGACACCCCGCGGGCGGGAACGGCACCGAAAGGGAAAAATATTAACGGAATCAAATTCAGAGTGATGAAACACGGTGGTCATGGCCGGAAGGGTGGCTACGGTGGCCGGTGGTGTGTTCTGCCCCCCCCGCGCAGATGGGATGATCCACTTCCCTCCTCCGTGCCGTCAGATGGTCGGGCCCGGGCGGTGAGTGGGGACTGGGGCCGGGTCCGGGGATCGAGGGAACCGGGGCCGGGCCGGGGCTGAGGGGGCGCAGGGACTGAGAGGGGACCGGGACCTCAAGCCTGGAGGGAGCCTGAGGCGCTCCGTGGGAGACTGAGGTGGGCTCGGGCCGCGACGTCTGGGCCTGTGTGGTGTTTTGGGGGACCCAGCCGGGATCCCCCGGGCTCCTGTGAGGTGGGGGTGGGCCCGTACAGGGACACCCGGGTCCCTCAGGGGTATTGGATCCATGAGGGGACCTGAGCAGGACATTTGGGTTCCTGAGGGGACCTGAACAGGACATTTGGGTTCCTGAGGGGACCTGAGCAGGACATTCGGGTCCCTTCTGGGGTATTGGATCCCTGAGGGAATTTGACCAGGACATTCGGGTCCCTTCTGGGGTATTGGATCCCTGAGGGAATTTGACCAGGACATTCGGGTCCCTTCTGGGATAGTGGATCCCTGAGGGGACCCGACCAGGACATTTGGGTCCCATCCTGGGACACCTGGATCTCTTTGGGACACCCAGGCCTGGACCCTCCTGAGCTTCTGCGAGGGCCCATGTCTGTGGGATGTGAGAGATTTCAACCAACCCCATCTCTGTGGGGCTATGGGGGACCTGTACTGAGGGTGCCTGGATCCTTGTGGCATGTGGGGGACAAAAATCAGGACATCTGGGGCTGCAGGGGGTCTGTACCAAGGGTGTCTGGATGCTTTTGGCATGTGGGGGATTCAAATCAGGACATCTGGGTCTCTGTGGGGTCTGTACCAAGAGTGCCTGGATCCTTGTGGCATGTGGGGGACCCAAATCAGGACATCTGGGTCTCTGTGGGGTCTGTACCGAGGGTGCCTGGATTTTTTTGGCATGTGGGGGACTCAAATCAGGACACCTGGGTTGGTCCCTGTGGGCTACCAGGACACCAGCACACAGGAGGATGGCAGAGGGGCTGTCACCCAAGCCTGACAGCACCCAACCCCCCCGTGCCACCCTCGTGTCCCCTCAGCAGCCGCTGCTGTGGCCCCTCCAGCGCCGGCCCCACCATGAACTGCCGCGCCGAGGTGCTGGAGGTGTCGGTGGAGGGCAGGCAGGTGGAGGAGGCCATGCTGGCCGTGCTCCACACCGTCCTGCTGCACCGCAGCACCGGCAAGTTCCACTACAAGAAGGAGGGCACCTACTCCATTGGCACCGTGGGCACCCAGGACGTGGACTGCGACTTCATCGACTTCGCCTACGTGCGCGTCTCCTCCGAGGAGCTCGACCGCGCTCTCCGCAAGGCTGTGGGGGAGTTTAAGGTGAGAGGAGGGAAAATGGGGAGCATGAAAGGGGTTAAAGGGAAGCCACACATCTCTGCAAGGGTCCCCCAGGATGGAGCAGGGGGCACGTGTGGGTGGATTAAAATGAGCAGTGTAGGGGGATACATTTGAGTAAATTAAAGTGATGTAGAATGTAATCTTATCCCCCAACGAGTTGCAGCTGGACCAATTAGTAAAAGATTAGGAGCTACACCTGTAGCCAATAAGGACAAGTGGTATAAAAGAGTGAATTGGTGGGATCTGGACTCAGATGATTACTGCAAGGACCAAGAAGAGTCAGTGTGTAGAGGAACTGCTTACAGAAAACATTGAGGAGGCACAAAACTCTGAGGGTATGGAATCCTTGCACTGTAATGATAACAGAACTCTTGATATAAAAGATAACAGCTGAGGGCTGGAGGAGACTGAGAGGAGACTCCTCAGCTTCATCCCCAGGGCAGCTCCGGTCTCTGCTCCCTGGGACAGTGACAGCACTGAGAGAATGGATAGAGCTGTGGCAGGGAAGGGGTGGGATGGGTATTGGTGAAAAGCTCCTTCCCCCACAGGATGATTGGGGGCTGGAACAGCTCCCCAGGATGTGGTCATGGCCCCAAGGCTGCCAGAGCTCAGGGAGTGTTTGGACACTGCTCTCAGGCACAGGGGTGGGTCTGGATGATCCCTGGGGGTCTCTTCCAGCTCAGGATATTCTGTAAACCCCAGTGGGATGTGCCTGGGGAGGGTTGGTCAGTCCCTGCTCCCCCGTGACCCCCGTGCTGCCCTGCAGGACGCGCTGCGCAGCTCCGGCTCCGACGGCATGGGGCAGATCTCCCTGGAGTTCTACCAGAAGAAGAAATCCCGGTGGCCCTTCTCGGATGAGTGCATTCCCTGGGAGCTGTGGACCATCAAGGTGAACGTGGTGAACCTGGCCAACGAGCAGGAGCGGCAGATCTGCCGCGAGAAGGTGGGGGAGAAGCTCTGCGAGAAGATCATCAACATCGTGGAGGTGATGAACCGCCACGAGTACCTGCCCAAGATGCCCACCCAGTCCGAGGTGGACAATGTCTTTGACACCAGCCTGAAGGACGTGCAGCCCTACCTGTACAAGATCTCCTACCAGATCACGGACTCCCTGGGCACCTCGGTCACCACCACCATGCGCCGGCTCATCAAGGACACGCTGGCGCTGTAGGGCTGGTGGCACCCAGGCAGGGTCACCGTGGCACTTTTGGGGCAGTGACTCTGCTTGGATCCCCTCCTTCACCTCCAGAAAGCTTCTGGGAGGAGCTTGGCTTGGCCTAGCCTGTAATTTGGGGGTTGCTGCTCCTTGGTTTTGTCCATCCTGGAGAACTGGCTCAGTGGCTCCGGCCTGGCTGATGACCGGGGTGAGTCCTCAGGGCAAGGGTGGCACCAGCCCTGAGTGGTGCTGGGGCCTGGCAGAGAGTGCTGGGGGTCAGGGTGAAACCCCACCCCACCCCTCTGCAGCACACTGGGTGCCACACAGCCAGTGCTGGCCGTGTCCCTTATCACCACCTGTCCCCAGTGTCACTCCTGTCCCAGGGGGCCAGAGCTGCCCCAAAAATAAAGAGTTTCTGCTTTCACACAGAGCCTGGTCACGTCCTGGCTGTGGGGGCCATGGGAGGGGGGAATGGATGCTGAGGCTGAGCTGGTGGTCACTGTCACATCCAAAACCAAGGGGCTGAGCTGGGGGGGGTCCCCATTGCTGTGGGGCTGAGCTGGGGGGGGTCCCCATTGCTGTGGGGCTGAGCTGGGGGTCTCCAGTGCTGTGGGGCTGAGCTGGGGGTTCCCAGTGTGATGGAGCTGAGCTGGGGGACCCCATGGGGGATTGAGTGCTATGGAGCTGAACTGGGGGTCCCCATGGCACACTCACACCATGGGGCTGAGCTGGGGGACCCCCATGTAATGGGGCTGAGCTGGGGGTCCCCTGAGCCATGGGCTCCCCATTGCTCCCCAGTGCTGTGGAGCTGAACTGGGGGTCCCCATGGCACACTTACACCATGGAGCTGAACTGGGGGTCCCCTGAGCCATGGGCTCCCCATTGCTCCCCAGTGCTGTGGAGCTGAACTGGGGGTCCCCATGGCACACTTACACCATGGAGCTGAGCTGGGGGTCCCCTGAGCCATGGGCTCCCCATTACTCCCCAGTGCTGTGGGGCCGAGTGCCTGCAGTGGGGACAGCCAGAATGGGGAGCCCCAGATGCCTTCCAGGCCACCTCAGGAGGGGGCTAGGGTGACTCCCCCTTCCCTGCAGGACTCTGCACCCCTCCAGGGGGGCTCCAGGCCGGGGCAAAGCTGCTGCCCCTTGCCGGGGGGGGCACCCAGCGCCAGCGAGCGTGAGGGGGGCCGTGGAGGGAGGATCAGAGAGTTCCTGACATCACTTAAACCCTCGCGTCTGTCACCGCCACACTCCGCTCCCGGGAGGAAGACGAGGAGGAGGAGGAGGGGGACATGAACGCCACCCGTGAGGACACGGGGCTGAGCGAGGCCGCCCAGATTGCCGTGGTCCTGGTGCTCTGCCTCGCCGTCACCTTCGCCATCCTCTTCCTCGGCTGCAACCTGCTCCTGCAGGCCGAGAGCCTGGCAGCGCCCACGGCGCAGGGCGAGCGGCGCCTCTCCGAGCCTGACCCTGCCACCGAGGGCACGTAGGGACCGGCCGGAGCCTCACGGATGGACAGATGGACAGACGGACGGCCGGGTGCAGATGGACAGATGGACACGGACCAGCACAGATGGACGTAGCCGGGCAGGAGCATCCTTGGCTGCAGCATCTCCAGTGACCCTTGGGAATGGAGCAGGATGTGCATTGGGATCCTGCCCTGAGTGGCAGATGGACAGATGGACGGCTGGGTGTGGATGGACAGCTGTGTCCTTGCCTGTAGCACTTCTGAAGGTGTGGGACGGCGCTGGAGGCTTGTGTGGGTGGATGTAGGGAATGGGCAGTGAGCCCAGTGGATGGAGGGATGGACATGGATCGACATGGATGGACATGGCTGGACAGAAGCATCCTTGGCTGCAGCACCTCCAGTGTCCCTTGGGAACAGGATGTGCACTGGGATCCTGCCCTGAGCAGCAGATGGATGGATGGATGGATGGATGGATGGACGGATGGACACGGACCAGCACGGATGGACATGGCCGGACGGAGGTGTCCTTGGCTGCAGCATCTCCAGTGACCTTTGGGAATGGAGCGGGATGTGCACTGGGATCCTGCCCTGAGCACTGGGGACTCGGGTGCCTGGATGTCACTGAGGGCAGGTGGGACCCGCCTAAGCCTGGCGGACGGACGGACGGAGGGATGGACGGATGGATGGACAGATGGACACGGCCAGACAGCAGCATCTTTGCCCACAGCATCTCCGAGGATCCCCAGGCTGGAGCAGGGGGTTTGTGTGGGTGGATTAAAAGGTCCCAGGTCAGCAGCGGCGCTGGGGGGGCTGAGGCCGGGCCAGATCCCACCCTGGGTGTGGCAGTGCTGGTAATCCCCCCAAGAGGATTAGAGAAAACTTTTATTCCCTGTTTCAGGGCTAATCCCTGGGCTGGTGGGGCTCAGCAAGGGAGGCCAGGCCCTTGTGCCGCTGCTGAGGGTTTGGGGTCACATCCTGCCCCTCCCAGCACCCCCATGGCCACCCCCACAAGCCCTTTTTGCCATCCTGCCCCTCCAGTCCTTTGGGACCTCACCCTGCTCCCCCTGCAGCCCCTCCCAGCCTCCAATCTGTTCCCAGTCCCCCATAGCCACCAAAAGTGGGGAGAACTGGGACCACCCCACACTGGAATGGGGCTGGGGGTGTGGGGGGCTCCCAATTCCTCCCCAAACCAGGTCCCCCCTCTCCTTAATCCCACAGCTTTAATAACAGCACTGCAAAGCTCTGCCAAATGTCTGCACATCTCTGTGCCCCCTCCCTGTCCCCCCCAAACACAGAATCACAGCCTGGGGAGGCCCCCAAAACTCCTGGGCTGCCTCTGTGCCCCCCCCACGTTCCCCCAAATCAGGCATTGGCCTTGTAAAAGACTCCATATATTTCACATGTACAAAAAGTCACTGTGGTGGGGGGAATGGTCAGGGGGGTCCTGGGGTGGGGGGCACCATCCTGCCCCTCTCCAGGTGCCCCCCCAGCCTGGCTTTGGTCCCTTTTTTTTTGGCACTTAGTGTTCACATCAGTGGTCAAAGTGTCGAGCGCGGGGTGGAGGGGTCCCTCTGGTCCCTGCAGTGGGGCTGGGGGCTCTGAGCCACCCCAGGGAACAGGGGGACCCTGACGGGGAGGGGAGCACCCCATGAATCAGCTCCTGATGCTGGGGCTCCACCAGAGATGGATTTGGCCTCTGCCTTGGGTGGGCAGGGGGTGCAGGGTCTCCCCGGGCACAGGGATGTCACCCGTGGGAATGGTGGCACATTTTGGCCCTGTCCCACGTGGTGTCAGGGCAGGACGGAGCCTCACGGGGCACTTGGGGGGCAGAGGGGGGTGAGGAGGGGCTGAGGCAGCCCCAAATCCTCCCCTGCCCCCTGGTCGGGCTCCTTTGCCTTGCTGGGCTACAGGCGGATCCACCTTCGGGCTGTGGGATGGAAGGGACAGTCAGGGACAGAGCCAGGGACACCTGGGGGTGCCCAGGTGACCCCCCCAGAGTACAGGCACCACAGGCTGAGTCCTCCAGGCACTGGCCTAGGACTCAGCAATGCACTGGGATCCCCACTCTGGGCTCGAGCAGGGCACTGGCACCATACCCTGGCAACCAGTCTTGCACTGGTACCAAACCCTGGCATCCAGTCTTGCACTGGGATCCTGCCCAGAATCCAGGAGTGCACTGGGACCTTGTCCTGGGACCCAGTAGTGCACTGGGATACCAGTGTGGGATCCAGTACTATACTGGGATCCCATCTTGAGACCCAGTAGTGCACTGGGATAACAGCCTGGCATCCAGTCTTGCACTGGGACTCTGCCTTGGGATCCAGTTTTGCCCTGGGATCCTGCCCAGAACGCAGTAGTGCACTGGGATACCAGTGTGGGATCCAGTCTTGCACTGGGACCTTGTCCTGGGCTCCAGTAGTGCACTGGGATACCAGTGTGGAATCCAGTACTGTACTGGAATCCCATCTTGAGATCCAGTAGTGCACTGGGATACCAGTGTGGGATCCAGTCTTGCACTGGGACCTTGTCCTGGGCTCCAGTAGTGCACTGGGATACCAGTGTGGGATCCAGTACTGTACTGGAATCCCATCTTGAGATCCAGTAGTGCACTGGGATCCTGCCCTGGGACCCAGTGACCCCACTCTGGGATCCAATATTGCAAAAGAATCTGTGCTGGGATCCAGCCTTACACTGGGATTGTGTGCTGGGATCTTGTGCTGGGACCCAGCCTTGCACTGGGATCCTGTGCCAGGACTCCATTCTGGGTAGAACATTTCACTGGGATCCAGTTCCCTTCCACCCAGATCCAGCTTTATGTTGGGATCCTGTGCTGGGATCCAGCCTTGAACTGGGATCTTGTGTCGGGATCCTGCCTTGCACTGGGATCCTGAGCTGGGATCCAGGTCTGTGTTGGGATCCTGTGCTGGGATCCAGCCTTGCACCTGGATCCTGTGCTGGGATCCAGCTCTGAGTTGGGATCTTGTGCTGGGATCCAGCCTCAAACTGGGATCCAGTGTTGAAACTCAGCTTTGCACCAGGATCTTATGCTGGGATCCAGCTCTGTGCTGGGATCCTGTGCTGGGATCCAGCTCTGTGCTGGGATCCAGCCTAGCACCAGGATCCTGTACTGGGATCCAGCCTCGCACCAGGATCCTGTACTGGGATCCAGCTCTGGGTTGGGGTCCTGTGCTGGGATCCAGCTCTGTGTTGGGATCCTGTGCTGGGATCCAGGTTTGCACCAGGATCCTGTGCTGGGATCCAGCTCTGAGTTGGGATCCAGCACTGGGATCCAGCCTTGCATTAAGATCCTGCCCCAATCCAAAATCCTGAGGCGCACCAGACACCCTGGGGTGACAACATGCAGGGAGGGGGGCGTGCAGAAGGGGGCATGCAGGGCTCAGGGGGAACCCAGGGGGATCCAGGTGGGATCCAAGGGGATCCAGGCATGCAGGTGGTACCTGGGCTCTTAACAGCTGGACTCGTCGTGGTGGGACGGGTCGCAGAAGAAGCGGGAGCCCCGCTTGGCCGTGCGGGCAGTGAAGGGGACGCTCTTCAGCGCTGCGGGGGGGACGGGCAGGGGACGGGGGGGACAGGGACACGTCAGCCCCCGTGGCTGGCAGGGCCAGGGCAGGGGGCCAGGGGGGGCGAGGGGGCCATACCTGTGATGATGTCCTCGATGGTGCCATCCTTGCCCTCGTACATGGGCCGGTGGTCCTTGGCCTGGCGCCGCCGCAGCTCCGCGATCAGCTCCTGCTGCTGCCACTTGTTCCGCTGGGAGGGAGGCACAGGGGGCCAGGTGAGGGACACAGGGGTCCCCTCCGTGCCCCCCACTCCCTAGCCCACCCCGTGGCTGCCTCCACCAACCTTCTCCTGCTTTTTAGCCTCCTGTGCCAGCAGCTTCTCCCGCATCACCTCCTCCTGCTTCTTGCGCGTCTCGTTCTCCTGCTCCGCGTCCTGCCGG